CGCACAGGGGTCTCGCGGGAACGCTGGTTACGAGAGAAGTAGTCAATGCCACGATAGTGACCGCAAAGGTTGCACTTCAGCTCAACGACCTGGGTTTGAGAACAGGTAACACACTTTGCAACCTCTTGGATCGGGATAATGTCGAAGCCTTCATCAAAAATTGCCTCGCGGAGGTAGCTGAGCTGGTTTGAGGAGTATTCAAATTGGGGGCGAGCGCTGTGGCAGACACAGCAGGTGATCCTATACTTGTGAGTGACACAACGCACAGGATGGTATGGGATACTTACAAAGCAGGGAGATCAATCCGATCGAGACTGTAGATATTGTCAGCCTAATTTGTTCATGGTGTTGGTCTTGGTAGACTCACGCTTGGCGGACTTCCTCGTCATAGCCTCGGGGGTAAAGCTTCGAGGGACGTTTGCGGCGTGTGGTCATCATGTTTGCGTGGGATTTCTCGAGTTTCTCGAGCGGCGTGCGTGGAAGTACGAATCGAACGAGGGGAGGGAAGTCATTAAAAGGCCGCTCAACGCCTGTTTGGGCGAGAGCGTTTTCTGGGGCGTTGTTCATTCCGGAACTGAGGGACATCGTCGGTTCACTTGGCTCGCTCCAATTCATCACGTTGTCACGATTCTTCTATTCTCACTTTTGGATTCAAGAGGTGTCAAAGTAATATGCAAATCTTGTTCCTATCATGGTATCTTAAATGAAGAAGAAGAAATGCCTGGGAAAGTCATGCAAATTGGGCAAAGAATGGAGCCGCCTTTCAGTAACTGTGAAATGATCTGACTATCAGGCAAACACATCTCTGCTTCTATATGAACCCTCCGGCCTGGATCATGATAGAAATATCAGACGAATGGAATAGGATAAGATGGCAAGCAAAGAGGGCAGTAATGTCTCGAGAACAAGATGGTTCCAGACCGATCAAGCTGAGCAATACAAAAGGGGCCATGAATGTATGAACACAGTACCACTGATGAAGTATCGGACAGTCTCTACGCGGAGGCCTCGAAGCGAGTATACTGTTTCATGCATTGTTTTCGCCCTCCGTTGGCCTCTCTTTTTCACCCCTATTTCTTTTTGCCCATCTTCGAGTGAGTGCCTTAAGTTGTAGATATGTAAAAATGGTGGGTTAACCATGTAGGTTATAGAAAGTAGGGGGTGTGAAAGGACTTATGGCCTACAACTGTAACTTATTATCTTTTCATGTCAAGTTCATCGCTTTTTAGGAACAAAGGATATCAAAGGAGTCACCAGAGGGTTGCTTAAGTCAAGAAATAATCCCTTCGAATCCATACCTCATATGGTTAACCAGATATCAAATTTCCGCTCTCAACCATACCTCAAAAGGGGTAATATCATTTCGAAGGAGCATCCGAGAAACAATTCTATCAAATCTCTCAGATCCCCTGTCCAAAAATGCCTCAGAAACAAAGATAAGTTATCAAAACAATGCCACCGCCACCATCACAGAACCACAAAAGGGGCAAACAAAGCGCCACACCAAAACAAGTTAAGGTTAAGCAAAATATTCCAACAATACTGTACTCCATATACAACACCAACAACCTCGGCAAATCAACCAAGACCGCAAACGAGCAATAACAATAACAATAAACAAACCACTATCCAATCCCCAAATAGAAGCAATAGTCCGACTGATTTACAGACCGTAATTGCCTATAAAAGATGAAAGCACACCACCCCACCCCGTGATGCCTGAAGCCGGCGCTAATGCTAATGCTAATATACCGGCCACATGCGAAACCCCGAACAGGGGATAGTTTCAAAATCAACCGCAGGCCGGAGATTATGTTCCATTATGCTGGGAAGGGGGTTGGTTTGGAAATGACACGCATAAGGAGTATAGACCCAATTACAAACAGGGGAAGGGGGCGAGGGACTACGCTGTGGAGGGGAGGGGGAGAGGGGCAAATGGCAAAGGGGAATTATCATCATCTACATGCGCAATATGTCGTCGTGAGATGATCTAATTATACTCCGTAATCCATAATCCGTCTCGGTTCGCATCAGCCTGGCGGGGACAGGATTCTGCGCCAGAATCATTGGAACATTGGAAGTTTCTGGTGGCCTTCCTAGATGGGTATTAGTGCTGTATTCAGATCCGCACTTTTTCTATCCATATCCATATCTCTGCGGAAGGGGGCAGGGGCCGGGGGCTCGAAGGAAGGGGGCTAAATCCAAGTCTAACCATGAAGGAATAAGGGCATGGACTAAACGTCAAATAAGTAATTGTAACACCTTCCCGAAACGCAAAATTTTCATACTGTAGAGAGTTAGGTTAGAGACGCCGGTTTTTGGTCTTCTTTTTTAGGGGGTTAGTCTCTTATTTTCTTTCTGATTTTGTGCGTTACTGCAGCGACGGTGGAACCATACTCTACTGGAAGCACTGGCAGTTGGAAAGCTGCACGGTTTAATCAGCCATTTAGATCTGACATGATCTGTGTGTGTTCCAGCGATCACATAGGGGCCCGGGGATTCGGGGATGTTCAAACCATGGCGACTGGAGCATTTTGGAGACTTTCCGTGTTTGGGGTGGGCCCACTTGGGCGGGACTAAGGTTCTTAGCTTGAATTGGTTTACTTTTAACGGTGTGTTCCTGGGCAATCCTCGTTTCTTTTTGTGGGTAAGTTCGGATTTGGATTTAGGGAGGCCGGGATCAACCTCCTTTGTGCAGGTACCAGCACGCTGTAAGGACAGGAGATGGACAGTGCATGGAGGCAACTTGCTGTAGATTTGTCAGTGAAGATGTGTGTAACAGGTTCTTGTGGCAGGTTGAGGGGGTAACAAGAGTGGCAAGACAAGACGGAATAGACCCTGAGAATTGACTTTATCTCTCGGAAAGATGTACTTCTGTTAGACAAGGAAGCGTTGCATTTACAGTTGAGTTTACAGCCGTTTCCATGGTCACCCAGGAACATCCTTCTCGAAGACCCAAGGAACACGACGGCGCCTCCCGGCACACTGGAAAGCAAATAGTTTCCAGTGGCGACATGCGCGATCACCCCCTAGGCTTCACAGGAGAGCGCATAGTGGTCGCGGGTAGCAGGGACGGGCCTGGACGAGGTCCACGGTGGAGCATTCCGCGGTGCCCCGAGTCGACCGGTGCACCATTAGGCGTTTGTGAGGGATTCGGTGGGCCGTGAGTGGTTGTGATGGACCAGAATACTGGATCGCCGTGGAGTGAGTGGGCTGTTCTGGACTTCCGGCCAATGGCATTGTTGACTCCATCGCACTATGAGGTCTGTATTTGAGTGACGGAGTTTTGAGGGGCGTATTGGGACGCGGTGTGTATATTCGCGTCGATGATTTTGATCCACTGGTATTGGGATTTTTCCCCTTTCAGATTTGAGATTTGAGATCGGATAGGGATGACTGCCGAGGATTGAAACGATAGGTGTTAGGAGTAGATGAACAAGAAACGATGTGTAAAACCAATAATTTAATAATCTTGGATCCTCGCGGGCCAACGGCCGCCCCAGGGTTCGTCTAGTTGACAGGCGAACTTCCTGCAGGTAATGCAATACCTGGAGATCGACTCTTCATTTCCACGTCTGTGTCCTCGGGACGTGTCCCTTTGTGGAGAAAAACCGGATGACGCGGTACGTCTCTCATGATGTCAAGACGGATTCCACGGCAACCACGATCGAGGCGCACTTTTGAGTCGAACAAAGGATGCGAGACCTGCATACGGGTTCTAGTCCGTATATTCCGCACAAAGAACCCCTCATATGTAGCATGGCATGTAAGCTCTGTTGGCCGAAGCCGAACCTAATTGCACCCAAACATTGGTCTATCAGAAAGCTCCCCACGAAAGGTCGGATGGTCGGGAAGACCAGGTGGCAATACAGACGTGAACAGCGAAAGTGAGACAGCGAGAGATCCTGGGTAAATTGCCAGACAACTCCGACGTGGGACATGACATATAGGATGCTCCTTGCTCTCAGCTGTGCTGTGTCCATTTACATCTACATGCTGAGAGGTGACTCGTACAAAGATCTCAGGTGATAGATATATAAAAGGATTGAAATGATTTGACGTGGTAGTTCGAGGCAGTAAATTACAGGACACGGCCCAAAGCCAACACAGGACTGGCGTGGTTAACGGTTACAGGCTGCAGGTGTATGCCCAACCCCCGAATTATTAGGCGCCGTGCATCAGATGACCGTGATGGTACAGTACAGAGTAGAGTTTAATGTTATTATTTTTCTTCTTTAGAGAAATAAAACATATTCCTTTTGCTATAATTGTTTATGTGTAATAAAGTAATAAGGTACCCGTTCCACACTGTTGGTCCCATTGGTCGAGACGGGAGGAACCCGGTATTTAGCTGTATTTTGACTGTATTTGTGGCTATTTGGTGGGTGGGTTGCATGTATTATCGGTGTATGGTATGAGATTGTATTTCCTTTTTCCTTTCTCTATAGTCTTATTATTCCCCCCGTCTCTTCTCTTCTCTCTTTGACTGGTATTTACATCTACACTGTCTACAGTATACAGAGTTTCATTTTGGTCTCCCACTTTGCCACGGTGGACTGATCTGCAACGGCCTAAGGTGATTTAATTTACCGTCTCCACGGCCCCGTCTAGGAGCTCGAGCTGTCAGCGCGTCAGGGGCTCACCCTCGGTCCTCCGATCCCTCCACCTAGAACGGGTCTTCTCCTATTCTGGATTTCTTTTTATTGCTTCGTGCCCATTTAGTAGTTTGTCCCAGATCACCCACTACATGACCACCTTCACTCCCCCTCTTCCAACTACCTTGTCACTCCTTACTTTTCCTCCATGGGAACCCAATATTTTGGCTTGCATTGATTCTCGGATATGAGCACTTGCTGCAATTGATTCCCTATATCCACATACTACACTCTTCCCCCTACATAATTGTGAGTCCGCCTGAAATGATCCGATACTGAATACGAACTGACCAGATTAGAAACCCCCTACTTCGTCGATCTGCTGGCCAGACCTGAAGAGACACCATGACTGTCACATATGATGCCCCGAGGTCACATACCTCGATGGCCACTCTTGAGGATCGCTTTGAAGTGATCAAGGAGATCGGCGATGGCAGCTTCGGTAGCGTCGCCGTAGCACGTGTACGGACTGCCGGTGCCCACATTGCTCGGAGAGGAACGATGGTATGGAATGCAACATGGTGCCCAGGTGGTGCGCGACGACTAACATTGGCCCAGGTTGCGATCAAAACCATGAAGAAGACATTCGACTCTTTGGCCCCATGTCTGGACCTGCGAGAGGTCATCTTCCTCCGAACCCTCCCCATTCATCCTCACCTTGTTCCCGCACTCGACATCTTCCTCGACCCCCTCTCCCGCAAGCTTCACATCTGCATGGAATACATGGACGGCAACCTCTACCAACTAATGAAGGCCCGTGACCACAAGTCATTTGACGGCAAGCACGTCAAAAGCATTCTTTACCAGATCTTGTCTGGTCTGGACCATATCCACGCCCACCACTTCTTCCACCGCGACATTAAGCCCGAGAACATTCTCGTGTCGACCTCCGCCCCCAACGATTCCACCTTTAGCCGCTACTCTAATCTCGTCACCCCTCCCTCTACTCCTCCTGTCTACACCGTGAAGATTGCCGATTTTGGTCTGGCACGTGAAACACACTCCAAACAACCGTACACAACATATGTCTCAACGAGATGGTACCGCGCACCCGAGGTGCTTCTACGCGCAGGAGAATACTCCGCCCCTGTGGATATGTGGGCGATGGGAGCTATGGCGGTGGAGATTGCTACATTGAAGCCCCTGTTCCCCGGAGGCAACGAGGTGGATCAGGTTTGGCGCGTCTGTGAGATCATGGGCAGCCCTGGAAACTGGTACAGCAAGTCTGGCACGAAGATTGGTGGTGGTGAATGGCGTGAAGGCTCCCGCCTAGCTCACAAGCTGGGCTTCACCTTCCCCAAGATGGCGCCACACGCGATGGAGACAGTACTGCAACCCCCACAGTGGCCAGCGGCATTCGCTGAGTTCGTTACCTGGTGTCTCATGTGGGACCCCAAGAACCGCCCTACGTCGACTCAAGCATTGAATCACGAGTACTTTGCCGACGCGGTCGATCCCGTGCGACCGAAGTCTTCGACCTCGGCCAGGCTGTTGGGTCGCAAGCAGTCCGACAGGAGCTTCAAGTCGCCGACCCTCACGCCCAGTGACTCTCCTACATTGTCGTCCAAGCCTTCTTGGTTCCGCCGATCGTTGATCGCTCGGTCAGATAGCCCTGCACCTGTCGAGGACAACCCTGCTCGGCCACCGGTCGTTTCTCAGGTCACTGCGCCTGAGATCCAGCCTGTCAAGGCGGCCCGTCCGGCAAACACCAAGCGGGCCACCTGGGCCAACGGCGCACCTATGCCTATTCTTCCTTCTATCCGCCCTGTTTCCCCTCTTTCCAACTCTGTTACCGCCCAGGCAAACGCGACAGTGGCCCATAACGAAGGCTCAAAGTCCTCCGACACCTCTACTAGCAAGGCTAGCACAAAGATTGGCCGTCAACTTTCGGTCAACTCCAATGGCAACCACTACTCGGATGTGCACCGCCAAGAAGCTGAACGGATGTTGAATGGCTCCGGCAACAACACTCCCACCGCAAAGGAGAGCTTCTTCTCGCATCTGCGCAAGCGCGCTCGTAGACTCTCAGGACGCAATGCACCCCCGCCGAGCGATGACATCGAAGCCAACGCGGGTTGCATCCCTTGGTCGAACCGGTCATCCATTGCTCTCGACGGGGCTAGCAACGAATCAAAGCAAGGTTCCGACTTGAGCGAATTGGACAAGGCGCTTCAGAGTGTCAAGTACTCATTGGACTCGTCCACTCTGAGCAATGTCCCTGTGCATTTGAGCGCTGATGGAAATACCACCAAGCGTCAGTCAATGCCTCAAGTTACAAGCAACCCTAGCCCGATCTCTAGCAGGACCCGCCGCGCCAAGCAGATGTCTACTCACCCTGTTCACCGGTACGAGACTCCCGAGGAGGAGGATGAGTTGCTGGACGAAGTGTTACACTCGGCCAACAAGGCAGCTAGGCGCCTGGCTCAAACTCAGTCTATGTCTGCCGAGTCGCCCACGGTAGCTCATCGCCATGCCGACAAGTCGCGTGCTATGCCAAGCCCGTATCCCACGCCTTCTCCCAGTGCCAAAGACTCTACCGCATTTGGTCACCAATCTACACCGAGTAAATTGAACCTCAAGGTCGATCATGCGGCTGCCAACCGCCATTGGCCCACACCTCCCTATGAGGAGGCTGAATGGCACAACAAGGGCTCCGACTACTTTGCCCGTGGATCTAACTTCATCTAAAAATGACCTCTCCATTTTCAACATCACACGACTTCTCAAAGCGAGAAGCACAAAAATCTGGCGAAATTGCAACAACGGAAGACTGAACTCAAGGCGTATGGAATTCGATTCGGGTATTATTTGTTTATTCTCCCCACGGTCTGGTCTTTCGAGGAGTTTTCATTTTCACATATGGGCATGGTTTTTTTGCCAAAGGTTTCTCATTTCCACTTCATACCCCTACAGGCCTTTTGTTATAGATGGATCCGGCCTTGTTTCCCATTTCCCTTTCCTTTCATGGAGTCCTTTCGTTCGTCATTATTGACATGCACATTCACATTATTTGGGGCGTGTTTCCTTTCCTTCACATTTGATACCACGTGCGCAAGCCGCACTATATACCACCTTTCCTTTGCTTCACATACCTGATCTCCCCTGCACATCTTCTCGATGGATATGCCGTTCATTTTCTTTTGTTTATATACTTCTTACCCTCCCCTTGTACATTGACCAACCTTATCCTGTCTATTGCTGTCACTCATTCTCTCCTGCATTTACATTGCTACAATCCATTGCCCGCTTGCCCGCTTTTCACTCTCTTGTATCATTTGCACTTTCTGACGCTGGCGGGGATCCAGCCGTTTATATACTCTTGTAATATAGCCCTCTCTGGTCATGACCAGATCCTTACATACTACCTCGGTGCATACATGCATTTCAACCTGCTCACGTTATACTCTTTGTAACAAGTAGTTTTGTAGACTTGAAGTTACAGTGCAAGACGGGTTGCTACTGGGTGATGAGAGCGATAGGATCGTATGAATGATACCTAAGATGTAACAAAGCAAGAACTAGAACTCTTCATCTGAAAATTAAAAGCGGTAATTCCATGACACTGAATTAAGATACTTACACTGGAAGGAAAATATTGTGATGGTATACTTCCATCAATATCAGCGGAACAACAATTCTCCGCCCAAATTTCCTGATTGAGACTGCTCTGCTCGACCTTACCAACTTTTTCCTTCCCCAATTGCGAGCCACCAACCTCAAAGCCGAAGCTACATTGGCCACAGCTTCAAGTCCACGCTCTCTACAACCACTGCGTTTAAAGGCCAACTGCATACGCTTCCCAAATCGCTGGCCGATCACCACAAATTTGAATCGCCAACAGAACGATAACCTCATGCAAGCATCTTACAAGCTTACCAACACCCCATTTTCACACCAACGGCCCCTCAATCCCTAAAAGCAAAGTGGGATAAAATAAGCCGCCAAAATGGCCTCCCAAAGACAAGCAACATCAGCCTCCCAAGTCCCCCACCTCTCCCCCGCCGAACTCTCCTATCTCTACACCTCCCTCAGCCTCCCAAAAACACCAATCCGACCAGACGGCCGCTCGCCCACACAATTCCGCCCCCTAAGCGCAGAAACAAACATCCTACCGGGTACAAACGGCAGCGCGCGCATCGGTTTCGCAGATGGCACACAGGCGATCGTCGGCGTCAAAGCCGAAGTGGAGAAGACGATTGTTGCAGCTGATACCCTTGACTCACGCAGTCTGGGGCAACAGGGTGACCAGCTGAATCGAGAGGGTGAGGAGGGTTCTGCTGCTGTTTCTGGGCAGGGAGAGTGGGTGCAGATGTCTATTGAGATTCCTGGGTTCCGGGATGATGATGCGTTGCCGGTTTTCTTGTCTGAGATGATGAGGGAGAGTCTTGTTGGGTCTGTTGAGGATGGGAAAGATGTGGAGATGGCTGGTGGTTTGAAGGGGAGGCTTGTTATCAACAAGCGTTGGCATTGGAGGTTGTATATTGATGTGAGTGCTCCATCTTGATCTCCGTCTTCCGCGCGAGAAAGGCCGCAGAGCCTCCGTATACCGTGACGAAAACTGACTAACAAACCTACAGGTCCTCCTCCTCTCCCAACCTCTCGCCTACCCCCTCCCCCTCCTCTCCCTAACAACCCACCTTGCCCTCCTAAGCACCAAACTCCCAAAACTCAAATCAACCGGCGAAGAAGACCCCTTCTTCGACGACGACTGGGCCGCCGCTGAATATCTCTACCCACGCATCACCAACAAATCCGCAAAACACACCCCAACAGCGCAATCCCACCCCGTCCGCCCACCGGTAACCCTCCTAGTAATCTCCGTCGGTGAAAACATCATTTTCGACCCAAACCGCGAAGAAATCGCCGTCGCCGACGCCGTTCTGGCAATCTCTGTCACTCGCACCGGTGACTCCGATACCCTGAAACTACTCTCCATCCGCACCATCGACCCGCCCTCGCGCTTGACGCAGTCTGGTATTCCCAATTCTGAGAACGTGAATATGCTCGGTGCTACGGCGCCGTCGGATGATCCTGCTCTGCTTAATCCTGCGACTGGAGAGGAGGAGGTTTCGCGGGTTTGGAGGCCGCGTAGGGGTGGTGTTAAGAGGAGTGTTATTGCTCGGATGGTTAAGACTGTTCTTGAGAAGGGGGGTGTTGGGGAGGAGGTTCTTGAAGGGCTTGAGGGTGTTGAGGTTCTTTGAAAATTGGAGTGCTTTTGTATAAGTAGAAATATCCTTGGATAGGTATTGCATATGCTTTGAGATATCGATCTCTAATGCCATTGGAGTATGGAGCTGGAGTTGTTTGTTTCCACTTGTACTTCTCTTGTCTTTGTGTATGCTTCGTATTGAGTTGGAGTATCTTCTATAGCATATGCAAAACAAATGATTTAATGTACATAAATTGATCTGTATAGATCAATCAATATCAATATCGGATATCAGAATGCCCGAATCTGGACTATCCATTCCAACCCATAATCCCCGTTTCCACTGCATATAACAAGCTCCCAACTGGCGATGTCATGTCATATCATATCATATCACACCACACACATCTCCCTCCTTAGCCCAAAAGTGACACAGGAAATCACCAAATCCCAAACCACTTCTTAACGGGCCTCTTCTTTCCCTCCCAATCAACAAACTCCCCCTCACCAACCTCAACAGCAACAGGACTCTGCACATCCACCTCCTTCTCCGCCCCACCATCCTCTTTCTTAGCATCCTCCTCCTCCAATCCATGCGCAACCCGATACATCTTCCTCTTCTCAGCATCCTCAACACGGCGATGCCTCTGTTCACGCACACGCATAGATTCATGCTGCACATGCATACGCCACACAGAGAAGGCGCGCGAAATCGTGCCGAAGGGACTGGTTAGGAGTTCGGACCAGGATGGGAGGAGATGGGCGAAGGGGGAGGTTGCTTTGAAGTTTGTTGTGAAGGTGAATGTTGCTAGGGAGAAGAGAATGCTCTATTATAAAGGGGATAGGTTAGCAATTGCAATTGCAATTGGGCTGATTGTACTCCGAGCAGGGTTGTAGATAGATATCTCGGGGTGTAGGTTAGACGTAGGTGTAGAGTAGCCATACCATCGCAATCCAAATATGAATCCATTTACTGGTCAAAAACTTATGCATAACCGTCCCCTGGGGTGGGAACATATTCGGATACTGCTTTGTATTCTGCTCTTCGATTTCCTTGGGGGTTGTGCGAGGACCGTATTCGAATGGTTGGCCTGGAGGTGCGTTTTGGGGGATGGCGCTACATAGCGCTGGGGGTGTGATGGGGGTCGGAATTTGTCTGGTTTTTCCAGGACGCGGGGTTTGCTGTTGGCATTGGCATTGCTTTTGGCTTTTTTGAAGGCTGCGCGCGTTGTCGTGAATGTTCGTTGTGGTTGGCGTCGGAGGGTGCGCATGATTAGGGTTGAAGGGGCCCCTCGGGGGAGGAGGAAGGACGGGATAGGGGTTGGCATTTTGGGTTACCTGGTTTCTCCTGGCGTTGTGAGGCTGCTGGGTTGGGCCTGCTATCGCGACTTTGTTGATGCGGAGTGCAATTTTTGGAGATGGTACCACGTGACTGGAAGTCACCGGATATTTTTAGTCCGGCATTGGCTGCATATGATGAAATTCTAACTAGATTAGCTGTTTATTTGCTTCGATGTCAATTGAACTATATCCATGGAGTTTATCTTCTATTTTCCCCCTTAGCGTGGTCTCAATGGATCACCTATACTATATGTGTGGTCTACTGCATAGTCACAGGTTAAATCCAGTTCGGATTTCACTCGGAAATATACCGCCTCGGCCTCAGGATCCACAAGCGGACCAGCTGGGGCGAATGAAAGAAAACTCATTTCGAAGCCACGGGGAACCCGCAGCCATTTATCGGAAGAAGGGATATGACCACGTCGCCCCGGGGCTATGAAAGGGACCCCGGGATCACAAAGAAATTGAATGTTTCGGGCTTTGAACTTATGATATGCAGCTATGCATCTAGGAGCTATAGTTCGGAACCCGGCTCAGGTTTATGATGAGGGATGAGGTCATGAGGCGAAAGTAAGATGTAGAAGTAAAGAGCAGGTTTGCCTCTATCCATTAGAATAGCCGAATAGCCACAAATATCCCAACCCAACAATAACATAGAGAAGTATCCAAGACAAGTAAAGCGCAGACACACCGAAGTTCCCGGTTGCGCCCGTCGACCTGAATAATCTGCACGCTGATTGGCTCCGGCCCGGATTACGAGAGTGGCCGGGCTACATAAGGGAAAAACTTGCTCTCTCCCTTTCCACAATTTTCCTTCAAACTTGTACAACTATTAATCTACCATTATATCCTTTATAATACCTCACAATGGCCCCCAAGAACGACTCCTTCGCTCCCGGTAAGACTACTCTCCAATTCCACGCCATTGAGTGCAGGTGAAGCTGCTGTGTTTGAGTTGCGCGAGGAAAAGTGAGGGTATTCCGGCCATGGTGTGGTTTCCTCAGTTGGGGATGCTGTCAACATTGAGAGGCAGTCTGACCATAGGATGCGCCGGACTCACTTTCCTCAACGCAACCTCTCGCATCGCGTTCACCTCAACCTTTGCAAATCCCATCCCCTGCCGTTCAGCATGACCATCACTTTCGACACTTTCTGCAGTCCACTCCATGATGGCCGTCTCAGCAGTCATGGACAGAAAGAGACAAGAATCCCAAGATGCCGCCGACGCAGAAGCGAAACAGGCCGCCGAAACAATGGCTAACGCGACTTCCACTTCAGGTGACGCCGCCAAGGGTGCCAAGCTCTTCCAGGTGAGTAACTTCGACTGACGTATGCGCCGGACAACACTGACAGCTTCATTTCTAGACCCGTTGCGCTCAGTGCCACACTGTCGCGGCTGGCGAACCCCACAAGGTCGGCCCCAACTTGCACGGTCTCTTCGGCCGTAAGACCGGTTCCGCCGATGGTTACGCCTACACCGACGCCAACAAGCAAGCCGGTGTTGAGTGGAACGAGGATACTCTCGTAAGTCGCAACCTTGCAACTTTCAGGAAGTCGCGTTCACCGCTAACCACTACGCGTCCTACAGTTCAAGTACCTCGAGAACCCCAAGAAATTCATTCCCGGCACCAAGATGGCCTTCGGTGGCCTCAAGAAGGGCAAGGAGCGCAACGACCTCATCACGTTAGTTCGACCCACCCATAAAACCTGAAGCATAAACTAACCCCTTTCCAGTCACCTCAAGGAGGCCACCGCATAGATGATTTGACGACTTTCGGCATTCTTTTTTTCGGTTCACTTGGCGTGGGCTGATTACCGGGTATCCAAAGAACCGGGCATGTATTATTATTACACCCACAATAGATTTTGATCTCCTCTTTGTCCCTACTTTGCAGATCATAAACGTTAACAAACGCATTGCAAACGGCTTGTCTTAGCTGCTAAATACTGTGATGCGTTTTTGTATTATGATTGGCCCATCATGTCAGACGTATCGATTGGGCAAACATGGGCGGTCAGGCACAGCTGCACTTAGGTGGTACCAGGCGGGTACCTGGCAGTGACGCAGTGATCCACTAACAACAATGTACCTCTCTTGTACACACCAAGTACTGTGTACACGCCAGTGCCTCGAGTCTCAGCACATGACCGATGGATAGGGTGATTGGCCCAGCCTCCTCGACTCTACAAGTGAGGGGAGGGGATCTCTCTCCTTCCTGCATTGCTCGACGAGGCGTTTCGATCTTAGTACCGTATTAACCTGGATCGCATCTTCAGCGCAACCATCTCGAGAACTCATATCACACTCACGAATCTGTTGCATCCCATCGCATACCTTATCGCATCGGCGCATCCATTGCGCCATCTGTAACGACTTGCGCAGACTGACTGTCCAGGCGCATTTACTGACTCTAGTTCCCAGGGAATTCAACTGGTTCCCGACTCTATTTCCACAAGGATTGATCTGCGCTCCGTCGCTGCGCATCTGCAGTGACTCTCCCACTGGGGTGCGACACTCACGGTACGCCGTCCGCCATGCTGGATGAGCTAGACAACGTCTTCGACGATCATCCATCCCTGGATGCTTCGCTCGAAGACTTCGAGAGCAACACAAACCCCCACCGATCACCAATGTTTGGTCTTCCCTCCCAACACTCTGGGTTCCGGTCTGAAGAGTCCGACGGGGAAGACGGGGACCTTGAGGACCCAGCCCAGGAGCGCTGGTCGCCCCCAGGATTCCAACATGAATACGTCCAGGGCAGTGGGTGGTACCGCCACCAGCCCTACCTGCGCAAAGGTAACCCCCAGACGGAGCGATTGCAGCTCAAGCCCACAGTCGGGCTGAGCGTGTCGCCGTCGCAATCGCGCGAGCCAAGTCCACAGTACGAGGATGCGCTCGAAGGGCCAGCCCATGGGAAAGGTAGCGACACCACTGTCGCGGCTAATGTGCCTCTACCGCCCGGGCCAGATACACCCCTCAATGGACGATCTCCCAGTCCGGCTCCGGCTCCCAGGTCAAATCGTACGCCTCGTCATAGTCCCGAGGACGATGAAACGGGCTTTGGAGCGGAGAATCTGAGCAACTGTAGGCCCTGTCTGATCTGGTTTCAGCTGCAGGCGCGGGTATACTAACATGTTCTTGCGAATGAATGAAGATATTCGCTTCGCAGTGCGTGCAGAAGTCCAGCACCGAGAACCCATTGCCGCCATGTTTGGCTGGGTGCGCTCCAAGTTTGAGCGCATGACAAGCTCCAAATCTAACACCACCCTCTCTGTCGTCATGCTCCTAGTCTCCATTGCCTTCATGCGCGCCCTACTTCTCCCAGGCCTCCCGCAATCGATCCCCGATCTCGTCAAACTATCCGGTTTCGCGCGCTCCTTTGAACCCCTGATATACTACTCAGAAAACGGAGTTCAGCAAATCGGAACCCTCCAAGAAACCGGCGTAGCAGTCTGGGACCTGAGCGAGTCGGTCCGTGGCACAAACATGACCAGCGCCCCAATAATCGTCCACCAACTCGACGAGCTCTCCGATTCCCTCAAATCCCTCTCCCTAGAGCTAACCCGCTTCTTCGCAAACGTCGACTCAGATATCGACTCCATCCTGATAGTAATGGACTGGGCCAAACGCGAACTTGAAACCCTCTCCGCCCAACCCCCAAGCTCCCTCCCAACAATCGTCTTCGACAACATGCACAACATGCTCTCCCGCCTCGGCGCCCTAGAACGCTCCCAACTCGACAACGGCAACCCAACATCCTCAACAACAACACCACTAGGCCACCTCGTAATGGCCGTCTTCGGACCAACCTCCGCACAACGCACCCGCACAACCCTAACGCGAACATTCACAGAGTTCCTCTCAGTCCTAGAAGAATCAATCAACAGCGAACTCTCCCACTCAACAGCCCTCTTCGCCCTATTCGAATCCATCGACCGCCAATTCCTCAACCTTCAACGAACCGTCGTCCGCGAATCAGACGCACAGGAACGCGCAGAGGGCGAAATGCTCTCCTCTCTCTGGACGCGCGTCCTCGGACCAGACGCCTCAGTTGTCCGCAAATACGAGAAGAATAAAAGGCTCCTCGCGAACGTGCGCAGTCGCACAGTCGCGAATAAACATCTCCTCGTCGATCATCGTGGTCGTCTCCTCACGCTGAAGGTGAATCTCGAGACATTAAGACGGAAGCTCGTTAGTCCGCTCGTGCGGCGCAATGATTCCGTTAGTTTCGTCGGCTCTGTCGATGGTGGCAATGGGGCGGGGAATTCGGGGACGGCAGGGCGCATGCTTGGTCCTGTTGAGGCTGTTATTGATGGGCAGATTCGCGGGTTGGAGGGGACGTATGATTATTTGCGCTCTGTGAGGGAGAGGCAGAAGGCTAAGCTTATGGAGATGGTTTATGGGGCTGGGAGGAAACCTTCGCAGTCGCTTATTGATGGGTTGGATGGGATTGAGGATGGGGAGTGAGAATGGTTGGATGTGATGTCTTTCTTTGTCTCTCTTTCTTGTCTCATCCTGTATCCTCTTCTTGGCTGTCCTCTTCATCTCCTCTCTTGGTTTCTCTCCGTGTCTTTGTCATCTTTGGCGTTTCGAACATGGGCATGGGCATATGTCGCATGGCGTCCGCGGCAGTTGTTCGGCTTTCGGTGGAAATGGGGTGTGGTGGCGACCTGACTTAGGTATAGGACAGGGCGTTGCCAGCCTCTGCTGGTCCTTTTTTTATCGTTTCCTCTCTCTATCATCTTCATCTTCATCTTCATCTTCATCTTTGTTCTTGTTCTTGTTTTTGCGGCGAACGGGAACAGGTAGGATAGGCTTGCAGGGGAAAAGGGATAGAAATACTTGGCGCTAGCCGGTCTGATTTGATATGACTATGACTATGGCTTCTCCTCTTTTCCGATGTCTAGTCTTATTGCATGTTTATAAATTATAATCATGGATAATCAGGCTGGTGGGAAATGGAGGTGTGTTTATGGTTGTTTGATTGTTAGGGCTAAATGTAGAATAGAGTCAACTTTAACTTAGAGTATAGATCGCTGGGCGAGGCGGTAGTACGATTTACCCTTTGTTTACTACATTGAACTCCATGCTGATTTCATATCAAACCAGAGATTCTAGTGATTCTGGTCCATATCGATATCGGCGAAAGGCCGAACCAGCCACTAGGAGTGCTCCGAACTATACGTTACCCCGGTCAATCGAGAAGCAATGTCGGGATGACCCCGTCTGCTATAGACTGGGAGCGCTATCCAAATGAGCATTTTCTTATGTTTCAAACAACATTTTACGCTTTGTTCGATGTCAATTCTCTGAACTACTTGATTTTGTTCATCCTTCTCGCGATCCAGATAGGATTATAGCGGTCCGCCAAGTACACGTCGACACCTCAATTCTCCCCAGTTTCTGCCTCATGGAGCAAAATCCATAGCGTGTGATCAAATAGTTCATTTAGGTGGCATTTCAGTCTTCCCATGGCCAATGAATCCGTGACACAGGATCAGTCCGAGGCCGAGGATGCATCCGTAAGTGGGGGCGCGGACTCTGCCGCCTATGCAGCCGATTCTTAGAACAACCAACTCTCCATGACATCTCAACTTCCCCGCCATGTTAAAATTGTCGCGGTGTCCACTCCAAATAACCAAAGGAGTACGATGGAACAGCCAGTCAACCACCATGCCCACTGTCGCAATATTATTCCAAGCAATTGACCCCCCTATCATAAACGGAGTTCGCAAACCGCGCAAGCCAGGTGGTGAGTTAAGTCCCAAGCTCACAAATAAATACATCCCTCCATATAATCACACAATCACAGAGACTGATTATATCCCCAGGCTACCAAGACTCCGGCGCAGACATCGCCTATACACTCCGCTCAACAGGAGTGAATATAATAACATCCAAACCAACCCCATCCCCAAACAACCACGAAGGATGGTGTTTCCCAGACTCAGAAGAAGGAATCCTTGCCGCGATCTCCCAAGGCGCAACACACCTCTGGGCAAATACGATCGTCTTCTCATCCCACCCTCTCCAAACAGCATCTTGTCTAGACGACCATGCGTCCACAGTCCGGGTAATCGGCCAGCCACCAGGTCTAGTCGAAAAATTCGACGACAAGCTCTACCTAAACGACAAACTCCGCTCTCAGGGTGGGGCATTCACACTACCCAAATCATGGGAAGTGAAGGCCACCGATCCATCCCTAGATCTAGATTCATTCATACAGACAAACATAACGGACTACCCAATTGTCGGGAAACCAGTTCGCGGCCGTGGAAGCCACGGCGTGAAAGTGTGCCACAGTCCCACTGAATTGAAAGATCATATTGAATCGCTTTTCGATGAATCGCCGGTCGTTCTTCTTGAAGAGTTTCTTGCTGGCGAAGAAGCTACTATCACCGTTATGCCTCCTTCACCTGGCTCTGGTAGATCGGGGTATTGGAGTATGCCGCCTGTGACTAGGTTCAATCATGATCAGGGAATCGCGCCGTATAATGGGACAGTTGCTGTTACAGCTAACTCGCGCGTTGTTTCGGAGGAGGAAATGCGGGATCCGGCTTATGAAGAGGTGATGGGGCAATGTGAGCATGTGGCTTGTTTGATTAAGGCTACGGCGCCTATTCGAATTGATGTTCGGCGGTTTGGATCTGGGTCTGGGTTTGCGATTTTTGATGTTAATATGAAACCGGTATGTACATGTACATGTATTACTGATTCGTGTGTTTGTTTGGTTCGAGGACTAATGGGTTTTGCAGAATATGACTGGCCCTGGACGTCCAGGCCGTGAAGATCAGGCTAGTTTGACTGCTATGGCGGCTACGGCGTGTGGCTGGGATTATTCACGGTTGTTGCTGGAGATTTTGAGAGGGGCTTCTACTTTGGAGACTTTTCGTCAGTATCGAAGTCCGTTCTAGTTGATAGTTGGAGGCTTTTGGTATGCTGTTTGCGACATACCAAAGCAATCAGATTCCGTTCCACCAAAAGGGCGCTGACAGGGAAGAATGATGAAACCACGCAAAGCTTCCAGGTGTAATTATATTCCAATCTGAAGTCCTCTCCGGCTTTATGCGAATGCGATGGGTGTGAGTAGGGGATGATGGGGATGGGGAAGGGTGAGTATATAAGGTGAGGGGGCTTTTTGTGATTTTACATCGGTAGGTCGAATGGGATCTGAGAGAACTGACTGGGCCTTTTCTATAATGACCGTATCAGGTGACTGGATCATGACTGTAGGCCTCACAGCTTGCCGGTGATTCAAAGCGTATAGCATGCGAGTTATGAAGAGTAACGAATGAGAAACGAAGTAGGAAATCCATACTACCATCTAACAATGCTTCTACAACAAACATAATTCAACTCCATGCATCCACTTCCTTCCATGCTCCTAGTTCTATATCACTCTGCATAGCAAATCTACGCCTTTGGTATCAACATGACAGGGAATTTGATCAACTGAACAAGTCCACTGCACTGTTCTTCACAATGTTAGGCCCCAAAGCCGCAGCCAATTCAGCAACCATGCCCTTTATAGACATAGGCGAAGTGATGGTTGTTTTGTCCCAGTCGACCAGATCCTAGATGAAATCAGTAAATAATGCCTCTCAGTAGGAAGAGTGGTCTGCATACCTCCATGTGGACAAAGTGCTGCTTAACCACCAACAGCCATTTACCCAGATCCATTGCTTCCACTTCCGGCGCGGTCATAACACCAGGCATATGGACATCAAAGAGAGACATCTGCTCTTCATCTCCAAGGGGCTCAGGCGCAGGTGCCGGGGTTCCAGGGGTAGAAGCTCGATCCCGAGACATGGAAACATAAGGACGAGAATTAAGTTTCTCGGTCAACTCGCCATCAAGCGGATCCCAGGTATTGGTTTCAGGGTCTGCGTAACAAGGGAAAAAAAAAAGGTCAGATCTCATGCCCAAAGTCTCGTAAGTGGCACGGCACACTCAATGGTTAATACCGGCACACGAGTGGAAACATACCGAGGATGTACTGGGGTCGGAAGTTGGCCTTGTAGCGCATCTTCTGGCAGGAATGAATGTAGTACCCTATATCCGGATAATTAGAAACGTAACCCACAGGCAAGGAATGGTTTCACGACTGCGACCTACCCATGTAGTAGTAGCGGTAATCGTTCTCGAGACAGAAGGCAATTTCCCGCATCGCGCTCAGCTTTTCGAATTCCCATTGCTCATATGCTGGGTCGTAGCTGTGTGGTACGGACTGTGTCAGCTTATCAAATATCACAGTAGTAGGGCCTATTACTTCACTCAGCTTACAAGACGTAGACGGAGCTGACGCCGTTTGGAACCAGGTCCAGGACCGCGACTGCGACTAGCTCTCCATCGAGACGATAGCATTGGTGCCAGGAGCCGATTTTCTTTTCGGAGCTCTTCTGTGCTGAGGCAGGCGACCGCTGAAGACCTGAGCAGAGGAATCGCTGAAAGTCCTTCGGCTTCCAGCGAGATACATCCTCTTTATGGATGGCCGTCTGGTACTTTCGGAACAGCTCGAACTTTGCCTGAGACACAGAGTCGCCTTCGATGTTAACTTCGAAGCGATGCGCTGGTTCTAGTGGACGCTTGGTAGCAGGATCCACGGGCCGCTTGACATTGCTGTACTCCGACTCGTGGACGGCAGTCACCACATCGAAGTTGCATTTGCGGTGCTTTTTCTCCCTGTTAAATTGTCAGCAGCGATTCAAGTAACAATGGCCAATGGTGAATGAAGATGCATACTCGCGAGTGCGCGGGCAGAGTCGGGCTGCCTTGCGCATATACTCTGGGCCCAGAATGAATTTGTTCCATCGGTTGATTGCCTTCCGCTGATCACGGCGGGGCCGATATTCGGAAGCCTCTAGTCTCAGAGTGTAATGAGGACAACATGACCGCTGCAGGTTCTGTTTGTAGTAAAGAGAACCCGATCTGTGGATGTCAGTTGTGGGTTACGGGTCATCTCTCATCTCAAGGATCAAACCTTCTCCATCCGCAATTGACCAATTCCTCATAGTGGTGCGGGCGTACGGACGTGGAACTGGTGTAGTACGATGCACCTGTTACGTGTCAACGGGTCAACGATGAAAAAGAAGGCAGAATGAGGCAACGTACTTCCATTGTCGGACTTGCAGTAACCACACGAGTTTCTTTGATAACCTGCATAACATTAGATATACTGTAAGCCCAAACCAGGACCAGTGGAAACGCCACGGGGTAACGGAGCTCTACTTCAGTGGTCCCCTGCAGCGAAGTGGGACTGACCTAGTGGGCGGAATAGCGACAGTTCTCGCGCGCGTTCGGCGTCAACGGGTTGCATCTCGGACTTTGGCCCCCTGTGGTGGCGATGTGTAGAGAGAGAGAGATGAGAGGGGAGTTGGCGGGGTGTAAATACGCCGGTTCTATACAATGGCGGTAAGGGGATTCTACAGTACACTTTTATTTCTACGAACGAAGTGCATGTATGTCTCTTTCTAATTACCTGATCGGCAGATCTATACTCTCTCGTCAAATCGCTCCGGGTTTCCCACTCGGTACCAAGCCGGAGTTAGGGTCTTTACCCACACACGAGATGAAGCACATTTCAGGGTGTCTGGACTAACTCCGACCTGAGACCCGAAGAACTTCAGAGTTTAACGAAATTGGAGGTGACAGGTTGACGCATTTGGGATAGAGTCACATGACCATAAAGTGATCAGTACAACCTGGGGAATAAAATATACGCTATGGAATAGAATAGAAAGTATAGAATAGACTAGAAATGAGAGGCTAAGAAAGCACAGAATAAGCAATATACAAGTAACAAAGCCCGTATGCAAGGCCGTGTCATTTCACCCGAATTGCGCCGCCGGTTCTGCCCCTCCATTCCCACTTCTCTTTTCCATTCTCCAATGCTCAACTGATATTTCTTGAACCATGCCTATTTGTACTTCTTTTCATTCCAGTCCCCCGTCGGGAATGATTGGGAAGACCTGATTTTACGCTTCAATATCCGCTGAGGGAAAAAAATTTCCCTTCCCGACCGCCCTCCCTCACTCTCTCACTCTCCAGGCTCTGAGGGAGCTCGAGAGATTCGGACCAATTTCACTTTGATCACTTTGAATCAGAGTGAAATCGTTTAGAAGTCCTTCCGCTCTTTTTGCTCTTTTTTTTACACTTTTTTTTTGACCATCACCGCTGCTCTTCCGGGGATCCTCTCAATTGAGTCAGTTTAGCACATTCAAGACAATGGCACAAATACGGTCGATGGAAGCCCGCGTTGGGCGCATAAACCAACGTGAGTATTCAGGTGGCTCTTGCGGACACGTGGGGCGAGATCGGCCTGCCCCTTACGTCTCTCTGACTCTAACGGCGTGATAGGCTACGGATCGAAAGGCGAGCGACTGGTAGCCGGCGTTGTCCCTATTTCCGCCGACAAAACCAAAGTCCTCATGATCCAATCCGCCGGACCCGGAGGCTGGGTGCTCCCCAAGGGTGGATGGGAGCTGGATGAAAAAACCGCCGAGCAGGCTGCGTGCCGCGAGGCCTGGGAGGAGGCCGGCGTGGTGTGCGTCGTGAGCCGCGATCTGGGTCTCATTCCGGACATGAGGCCATCCGGCCTCCTCACAGCGCAAGCGCCGAAAGCCTCATATCAATTTTTCGAAGTCACCGTGGAGCGCGAAGAAGCCGAGTGGCCTGAGATGCACAAGCGCAAACGGCAATGGGTCCCATACTCAACGGCGGCCACGGCACTCGCAAATCGACCCGAGTTACTGGAGGCGTTGAATCGCAGCTCCTTGAAGCGGTAGCCCCCGCATGCACAAACAGTTCTCTACTCTCTACTCTCTACTCTCCTCTACCAATCTCCCATCTCCCGTGCATCTAAGAGAACTGCCTCCAACCTTGATGACTCGACATGACCAACTCCAAAATTACGGTGGCTTCGTCGCTTCTACTATTGGCTTCGTCTCCTTTAGTCTACTTTTTGCATCCTTGACGGGCTGCCGCTACCCGTCTGTTTCGTGATTTGATTTGTGCCTTTTGCTTTCGCCTTAATAGACACCAACAGGAGGGCTTTGCAACAGCCAATGACTCCTTACTGTCTCATTCAGTGTACATTGCTCACCTTGCTGATGCCAGGAATGAGCTGAGATCGCATTGCGCTTAGTTCTAGGCATGAGGTGTTGAATGCAGCATCTACACCAAACGTTACCAAATGTGAAGCACTTCTTCCACTCTCCAAACCAGGAAAGTAACAAGGAAGCACAAAGAAATAAGAACCCAGATGTAGAATTAAACAGCTAGTATTAGGTACCTACGTAGTTAGTTGTAATTTATGCCCCAAGTCAGGCACTTTGACTGCGTGTCCCGATTAGGCAAAGCGCAAAAAGCTGCCTCCGAGGAGCAAATCCGCGATCTCGTCCACTCCGGCTCCAACCACGCGCCCGTTTTCTCTACCACAACACATTTGGTTACTCTTTCGTTCTCCATCTATTTCAATTACCTTCTAACCGCCATCTCTGTCTACTTGAACACCGCGCCAAGACACCAGCTCCAGACAAAGGGTGGCAGCGACCAGCGCTGCCGCATACACACGATGGACTACGAGATGGACCTAGAGCCCACAGGGCCCCAAGTAACCGTCCGCGAAGTAGGCAGAGCCATCTCCGAAATACCAGAACAGCCAACTAACCAACTCCTAGGCTGAGCCCCTCCGCGTGGACTTCAGACTCAGCTCCGTGGACCTGGCATTCGCCAACTCCCTTCGCCGCACAATCCTCGCCGAAGTGCCCACACTGGCCCTCGACCTCATCGAAATCGAAAGCAACACCTCCGTCCTCCCAGACGAAATGCTCGCGCACCGCCTGGGCATGATCCCCCTCAACTCCAATAACTGCGATGACCTGGATTACACACGAGACTGCGACTGCGAGGACCACTGCGTGCGCTGCAGTGTGACACTCTCGCTGCACGCTCGCTGCGGTAGCGGCATCATGTCCGTGTATGCGCGTGACTTGATCGTCGTGGGCGAGCGTGTGAACGAGACGATTGGTAACCCGGTCCTGAACGATCCCGAGCAGAAGGGGCCGTTGATCTGCAAGCTGCGGAAGGGTCAGGAGATTAAGATGACTTGCTTGGCTAAGAAGGGGACGGCTAAGGAACATGCTAAGTGGGCACCTACTGCTGCTGTGGGCTTTGAATATGATCCCAACAACAACCTCCGGCACGTGGATTACTGGTATGAGCAGGATGCCGCGAAGGAATGGTATGTATCTTGTTCAGTTCCATTTTGAACGTGCTTGGATTCATCCGCTGACATATCTCAGGCCTGTCTCTGAAAACGCCGCATGGGAACCCGCAAATGGCCCCGACCAGCCATTTGACTACGACGCCGAACCCCACACCTTCTACGTGGACGTGGAGAGCATCGGAATGCTCGAGCCAGACATGATTATTCAACAGGGCCTCATCGAGCTGCAGCGCAAGCTAGCAACCACTGTCTCTGTCCTCTCAGGCGAAGGCGAAGACGGCCACGCCGGAGGCATAGATGATGCCGATATGCTGGGCGCCAACGACCCTGATGCCTATGAGCCCCCCGAGGGCATCGACGGTAACCTTACCTCCTACGGAAACGGAGCTGCCAGTGCCTGGGGTGCGAGCGCACAGACACCCTACGGTGCTACGCCTTATGGGCAGACCAGCTATGGGTTCTGAGCGTCGCGGTCTAGGGAAAAGAAAAAAGAGAAAGCTCAAGCATGCGAGGAGTTCTGATTACTGGCGATTTGGGGGCGTACTGGTGTTTTACTTTCCCTGTCATTTTATGATCTTGGCAATAGCCGGTTCTTGTGGTCTTGGGGATTGCTCTGTTCATAATCTACGAAAGCCTTTCTTGGTTGGTCCAGTAGGCGCAAAATAGTGAATATTATCAGTTGCAATATGCAAAGATATTTAGTTGTCTCAGTGTATCTATTGCTTGGGGTCAAATTATATGCATAGCTGTTTATATGCGTAGAGCGAGCAGAGGGCTCGTCTTGCTGATTTATAGTGAGAGGCTATTGTATGAGGAGAGACAATTGAAGCGATAGATGAAGATGATGCATGGTTTTATAGTCTAAAACATTGCGTTTGTTCGATCTTCAAGGGGGCTTTTACGGCTGGTGATATAGAAATTTGGCTAATAGCTCTGGTAATAAGTTGTCCTGTTCAATAAGGATTGGCTTTTGAAAAATGCTTCTTCTCTGGATATCACCTTCCCTTTGGTTGCGCGTTAGAAGCCATATTCTTTAACCGAATCATGGAATCTTGATGCAACATAAATTCAATAGATTGAGATATTCTCACTAGTCAAACATACGACCACGGCTGCATAAGCTTCGCTCCCACTTTGGCATCATCCTCGCGGCCAAGATTGCACCGCTCCAATAGACCCTTAACAGATTTCTGAGCCAAGCGAACAATCTCCATTTCTTTGTCTCGTCCTCCGATTGCCAACTTCCCATCTTCCACCAAGATCTCTCCGTTCACCACCGTCATGTCGACATCACGACCGGTACATCCATGAACAACCGTGGTGACAGGATTGACTGCGTAGCTCGAATAGTCGTCACTCCAAGGCGCAGCCCCAAGTCCACCCTGTCCATACGGATCGATCACCACAAAATCACCCTTTTTACCCACCTCGAGACTTCCAACCTCGTCTTCCAATCCTAGTGCTTTTGCTCCATTAATCGTGGCCATTTCCAGGGCCACTTCCGCTGGAATAAGACTCGCGTCGTGATTGACACCTTTATGAAGAATACCCGCCAGATGCATCTCTTGAAACATATCATAGTGATTGCTGCAGGGTGCACCATCCGTCCCCAGAGAAACATTAACAGGCGCTGGATTGGACAACATGGATGGAACTGGAGCAACACCAGAAGCGAGCTTCAAGTTGGAAGTCGGGTTATGAGCCACGGAAGTCTGAGTCTCCGCTAGCAAGGGAATGTCCACCTCATTGTCAAGATTCACCATATGAGCTAGGACTAAGCGATGTGACAAGGTGCTGTGCTCCGGTGAACATTTGAGCTGAGGACAGAGCTTTGCATTTCGAATGAACTCCATCGCACTGCAACCGTATGTGTCACGATAGATGATGCGATCTCGAGGAGCCTCTGCACAGTGCATTGTGGCCGAGATTCCATTATGAGAACATATTTCGCCAAGTTCGCGATAATGGGAGATAGATGTGCCTCGGGGCGTCCCTGATGCTGCCCAGACGTGGATCCTGCCGTCGTGGCTGTTATGGTGTTTTTGATGTGACTTCAGAAGCTCAGGTATTGACATGGCGAGCAGGTCTCGGTCTCGCGGGTCGGTGATGGAGAGCTGACGATTCGTTTCTGTGAATTTGACCAGCTTTCCCTGTTTTATTCAAGATTGAATATTAGAGATACTCGCACCGAAAAGAGGAGCTGAACATACAAGACAGCCTCTGATACCCATCATACCCACCGCAGAACAGACTTGATCAAACCCGGCTCGGTAGGTCAACATCGGTTCCAGAAAACACGTTGTGCCGGTCTTCAGCATCTCAGCTATGGTCAACCGTGCTGCATTGAATCCATCTTTGCCTTCGAAAACAGCTTCAAGGGGCCAGATCGCATCACAGAGCCAGTTGTGCAGTGGTAGATCCTCTGCCAACCCCCGAAGCACAGATTGGACGAGATGAGCGTGAGTGTTGATCAATCCTGGAATGATGATTTTGCCTCGACAATCAATCTCTCTGGTGCGAGCAGGCAAGGCATTATTGGGATATGGGCACTTTCCAACGGCGGTGATTTGGTCGCCTTCAATCAGGATATATCCATCACGAATGATCTCCCGCTTGTGATTGACTGTAATAATCGTCGCACCATAGAATAGTTTGCATGAGAGAGATACTGCCTTCGTCATGATGACCCAGCAAAGAAAAACGAATGAAATAACTACAATTCCTGGCATAGTATTTATTCCTGGGTTACCCCAGAACCCCAGACCCTCGGCCGACGCTAAGCAATCAACATCTTATCTCTCCGGCCGAAGATGAACGATACACAACTTGAAGTTGATATGATGAGATACTGTTATCATCTTTGACAGAAGCTATATATCGTCATGGAGAATATCCTGGCTATTTCGCGCGTTATGCCAGTCTGCAGACACTCGAAACCAGCTTGTCTTAGACTATGAACATGGATGATCAACGGAAATCGCCGAAGGAAGATCTAGATTTGGATGACAGGAGATCGCAAATAATCGAAGTCTCGCCAGTCGCCGAAACCCGATGGCAGTACCTATATCGATACTTCACGACGAGAGAGGGATGGATCGGAGACTATGTACGAGAGCCGAGCCATCCGTCATTGCAAACGCTAACACGAACACCGCAGGATTACCTTTACCTTGTGACGCCGAATATCTGGCCCTTGAAAAAGAAGTACAAGGACTATGAGGCCCCGTTCTACGGATTGAACGATGAAGTCCCCATTCTCCTCACGATCATCCTGGGCCTTCAGCATGCCTTGACCATGATCGGATCCGTAGTATCACCGCCTCTGGCCCTTGCAAGTGGTGCCTTTTATCTCTCCTCAGAGCAGAGTCAGTACCTTGTCTCGGCAGCTTTCATCACCACCGGAATTGCAACAGCTATGCAGGTAACTCGGGTTCATCTGACAAAAACACCCTTCTATATCGGCACCGGCCTTCTATCTGTAGTCGGTCCAACCTTTGACATCCTGGCTATCGCATTTAGTTATGCGAGCATGCGTTACGCAAATGGAACATGTCCTACCTCTTCTGACGGATCGAGACTTCCCTGTCCTGACGCCTGGGGTGCCATGCTTGGTACCATTCTTTGCACTGTTTGGATTCAGATCTTGTTATCATTTGTTCCACCGAAGACCCTCAATAGGATTTTCCCAAAGATTGTAACCGGTACACTCCTTCTGCTTGTCGGCGTGTACTTGATTTCCAGCGGAATGGAAAACTGGGGAGGCAGCTCGAACTGCAACGGCGGCCAGGGCTTCTATGCCCTGTGCCCTGACACTGCAGCACCAAAACCACTCCCCTGGTAAGTGAATCGAATGCCACATACTTTCAAGATCAGTACTGACGTGCGACCAGGGGGCACCCAAAGCTCATCGGCCTCGGATTCAGCGTTTTTGTGACAATTATCATCGTCGAGCTTTTCGGGTCACCACTCATGCGCTCAGCATCTGTTGTCTTTGGGCTGGCAGTTGGATGTGCGATATCCGGCGCAACTGGATATTGGTCACGCGGTAATATCGACGCCGCCCCAGTCGCGACATTTCTCTGGGTTCACACTTTCAAACTGTCAGTGGATGGAGCATTGGTATTACCTCTTCTCATCCTCTTTATTTGCGAGGCTGTCAGCTGCATGCCAGATATTCTGGCTACTGCCGAGATTTCGGGCGTGGAGATCGATGGCATCGAGTTCAACAGCCGCATTCAAGGTGGCATCCTGTGCGACGGCGTTGGCAGTCTGATCAGTGCTTTAGGTACGGGCTTGCCGATGGTTAGCCAGGCCGGAAACAACGGTGTGATCTCTTTGACTGGCTGCGCTGTAGGTGTTTCCCCAATATATTTTGCAGGTACTCGGTGGTACTAACATGAAACAAATGCAGAGCCGAAGAGCAGGATGGTGTGCTTCGGGGTTCTTAATTCTAATGGGAATCTTCGGCAAGTTCGGCGCTGTCTTTGGCTCTATGCCTCCATCTGTCCTCGGGGGAATGCAAGTCTTCCTCTATAGCACGATTGTAGTTGCAGGTATCAAAGTTCTCAGTCTGGTTGAGTTTACGAGACGCAATCGCTTCATTCTCACGACTGCACTGGGCATTGGCTTCATCGACATTGTGTCACCCAGCTGGTTTTCCCAGATCTTGGATTACAGCGGTTCAAATGTGCGACTGCAGGGCTTTGAACAGGGTATCAACTTGATGGTGGAGACTCCGTTCATCATCGCCGCCGTTGTCGGGGTCTTTATGAATTTGGTGCTTCCGTATGATGGAAATAAGAAGAGAGAAGGGCGTGAGGGACATCCTGCACTCCCTACCTAAGCATCTCATCTATCTAATTAATGAGTCCAATTGAATAATCGTTGGACACAAGCCAGCGAAATTTGTTTAGCTAACTGCAGAGATAGATAAGGTCCCTTTGTTTGGTACTCGTAATGGCGAGAATGCAACTTGGGGTCCGGTCAAGAACAAGGTCCAGCAATAAGAAAGCGTTTAGAATAGCAGATAGTGCAGTTGTTAGAATAGTTGTAGTCGAAGTAGTCGGTTGAAGTATGCGGGTCCGAGAACCGGGTACAAATAGAGTGGCATGACATCACTCCAATGTCAACAACTCCAGCAGACTCACCCTCAAACTTCTCTTTGCGTAACTTGAGTAAAGGACTTCACCGGGGCCAGGCCAAAAATCTGCTTTCCTGCATCATGGCTTCAAGAGAGACTTCCAAATTCAAGAACCTGCCTCGCGCAGCCTCAGGGCCACTGAAATGCCCATACGATGTAAGCCATCCAGTCCCATCCACCATGAGCAACATATATCTAACCTCCCAGGCCAAAACCATCCTAAAAGACGCTCGATTCAACAAAGGGTCCGCCTTCACCCACGAAGAGCGCAAGACCTTCAATTTATATGGGATGCTCCCACCAAATATCCAAACGCTGGAAGAGCAGGTCCAACGTGCCTACGATCAATATAGTAGCCGGGCGGGGCCTCTGGCAAAGAATACGTTCATGGCAAGCATGAAAGCGCAGAATGAAGTGTTGTATTACAAGGTTTGATCAACACCCCGATCCGAATAAGTCCAGGGCAGAGTATACTGCTACCTGTGACGTGATATTATGTTACTGACCGGATTCCTTCTCTGGCTAGCTTTTGCAAACTCACCTCAAGGAGATGTTTAGTATTATCTACACTCCTACAGAAGGGGATGCGATCCAGAATTACTCTCGCTTGTTCCGAAAGCCAGAGGGGTGTTTCTTGGATATCAGAGACCAGGATAGTATAGATGAATATTTGTCGAATTTCGGCAAGGAAGGGGAGATTGATTACATTGTTGTGAGCGATGGTGAGGAGGTAGGCTACATGATACCAACCAAACAATCGGGACAGGCAATACTAAATTTATGTCTCTAGATCTTGGGAATTGGTGATCAAGGCGTGGGCGCCATTCTCATTTCAGTTGCGAAGTTGGTAATTACCACGCTATGTGCTGGGATTCATCCTTCTCGTCAACTTCCTGTTGTGCTGGACTGTGGGACTGATGTATTACCAATCTTTTCCAGATATGATAGTATGCGGGACGTGCTGATGGATTTACAGAACGAGGATCTGCTCAACGACGATCTATATCTCGGTCTTCGACAGCACCGAGTGAGAGGCAAGGAATACGATGACTTTGTGGACAAATTTGTTACTGCCGCCCGAAAACGGTTCCCTAAGGCATTTATTCACTTGTACGCCCTTTGTTTGCCGTTCTGTCTTATAGATTGTCATTCCATCGGCATACTAACAGTCACAGTGAGGACTTTGGTCTACAGAATGCGAGGAGAATACTCGACAAATTCCAACCACAGATACCATGTTTCAACGACGATATCCAGGGAACCGGCTGTGTCACACTAGCCGCCATGATGGCGGCACTGCACGTCAGCAAGATCAAGATGGGAGAAGTACGTGTGGTAATTTTCGGCTCAGGGACAGCCGGCACAGGAATTGCAGATCAAATAGCCGAGTCTATCACAACAGAGGCGCACAAATCCAAGTCAGAGGCATCCAAGCAGATATGGTACGTATGATGTTCCAGGACGAGATGGTAAAACTAAAAGATGATACTAACCAGACTGCTTCATACCATAGGTGTATCGACAAACCCGGTCTCCTCATTAAATCACTCGGCGAGAAATTGACACCTGCCCAGGAATCATTCGCACGAGAAGACGAGGATTGGCCTGCCGATGAGAGTCGTGACTTACTTTCTGTGATCAAGAAGGTTCGTCCACATGTTCTTATTGGAACATCCACGAAACCAAAAGCATTCACGGAGGACATTGTCAGGGAGATGGCTAAGCATGTTGAACGACCGATCATCTTCCCACTCAGTAATCCGACACGCCTTCACGAGGCTGAGCCGAAGGATCTTTACGAGTGGACTGAAGGGCGTGCTCTGGTTGCAACAGGGAGTCCATTTCCTCCTGTTGAATATGGGGGTGTGAAATACGATATTGGTAAGTCCTACCCGAAAGCGAAGTATATATTAAACTTGAACTGACAAGCTCGCTCCTCGTATTAGCGGAATGCAATAACTCAACTTGTTTCCCAGGCATCGGTCTAGGCGCTGTCCTCTCCCGAAACAGGCTCGTATCAAAGAAGATGCTAGTCGCGGCTGTGAAGGCTCTTGGGGCACGAGCTCCTGCCCTCCAAGACTCGAATGAGCCTTTACTTCCTGATGTGGAGGATGTGCGGGATATTAGCGTTGATATTGCCGCTGCTGTGATCAAGTGCTCTATGGATGAAGGTCTCGCTCAGGAAGAAGATATTCCTACTAAAGATTCGGATCTGAGGGAGTGGATTCAGGTGCAGATGTGGGAGGCTATCTATCGGCCTCTGGTTAAGGCTTGAGGATGAGTATTAGGAAGAGGATTTGTAGTAAAAAAATGCAATACACCTCTGGAAGTACAACCCTAAGCTCGAAAACATTGTGTAAGCTTGTAACAAGAAACCCAAAACCTTTGCTTGAAGCGCTATTCGGGGCCTTTGCTCTAGTACTGTGGTACGGAAGATCGGAGAGGAAGTTGATCATATCCAAATTACTCTGGTATCCTTTGCTCGGATGAACGGTTGATAGACCTACACATTTATCTCTCGATGGAGTTGACTACAGAAAGAAAAGAATACGTGATGATAATATGATATGCATAGTATTAAGATTCATAAGATTTTAGCAAAAGCAATAAGACTGAAGTCGTACCCGGAATCGAAAACGCTGCTGATATACCCATGCTTTCCCAACGCCTTCAGATAGCTAGCCACAAATAAGCTGCGGATGTCTTTGTACAGTAAAAGAAAAGAAACCCATCGCTAAAAGAAAAGCAAAAAATAATGCACTCGTCATCCCAAATCCCCTACTCCATAAGCTCGACCGGCGGACGGGAAGTCTTAGGAGGCATCCTCTTAAGAGACATCTCAATCGGGCTCATATCAGCATCCATCTCCGTATCCATATCCACATCCTCAACCGTGAATGTCATATCCTCAACCATAACCGCCGGCAGATTGGGACTGTCGCCGTGGTCTTCAGGTTGATAGATGATCGTGCTGCTCCGACTGCGCTGCTGCGGACCCGGCCATCGGCCAGCTGGGTGTGCGCTTGTCCGATGTGATAGAAACGGGAGTAGCAGGGTCGACGCCGAATGATTCCGCGGGCGCGGGCTGAGTCTGATCGGTCTTCAGCATGGAAAGGGCCTGCGCCAGGTCGGTGGCGTGGACTTCCTTGTTGGGCGGGTCCTCGTTGCGCATGACCCATCCGTGTGGCGGGCTGGGAGGCGGGGAGATGAAGAACAGCTTGTCGACCTGCGGGGCCTCGAGAAGCTTGGGTCGTCCGCCGTCTAGGATAGCTGTCGGCTCGCCGAAGTAGATGCGGGGTCGGACGTTGCGCTCTAGGAGGCGGTTGCCGTCTAGCATCTTGCGGATGGTGGTGGCGTCTTCGGTCGTGTGGAAGGAGCAGACGATGCGGCGCATAGATGGGAGGGGAGAGAAGGAGTTTAGAGGCGCAACAGCTGTGATCAGGGCGCGGATTTCATCCAGAGAGGGGGGCTGGAATAGGATCAGGTCGTTGAGATCGGTGATCAAGAGTGTGTTTGAGGGCGGTGTTGGCTGCGAGAGTGGGGGAGGTTGGCGACATCGATAGACAATGAAGGTCGCGAGGAAGCGCGCGAAGAGCGAGTACTGAAGGTAGAGGCCATAGTTGAAGAAGCCATCGTGGTGGTGAGTGTGTGTGTGTGTGTGTGTGAGTGTGTGTGTGAGTGTGTGTGATGTGTGTGTGTGTGTGTGTGTGTGTGTGTGTGTGTGTGTGTGTGTGTGTGTGTGTGTGTGTGTTGGTGTGTGTGTGTGTGTGTGTTGGTGTGTAGATGTTGGAGATGAGGATGGTGATAAAGGATAAGGGATAAAGGTTGCCACCGGATAAGCCTGAGGCAAATAGCAAATGGCAAATGGCAAATCTCGTTTTTATTCTGTTTCCACTGGTTCAGAGTAAGAATGAAAGAAAAGTCTGGATCTACGCCTTTATTTATTTTCTTGTCTTAACAGACCACTGTGAGGCGCAGCGTCGATGTTACCGTGCACTGCCTCTTAAATTCCACGCATGTTCCTGATCCACCTCCGTTTTCGGCCACTCGGATACCTTCGCTTTAACAGATCTGCCGCCGGCTTCAGATATTATTCTTCATTGTAAATTAAAGCTACGCCACTGCATGCGCCACGTATTGTGTACATAATGTTTATAATGTGTATGTTATGTCTCGAGCAGCCACATCCCGTGACTTTCAACACTTATACTGCGCCCCCTTATTCGTCCAAGCCTCTACTTTCTTCACCTCAGCCTCCCCCTAAATGCAGTTATCATTCTGCCTACGTCCTTGGGCTCTTGGAACCTCCACTGTAGCATCGCCCCCCGCAATATTCCCCGTCCGACTGCGTACCCGAGGGGACGCTATATGAGGCGGGGTGTGGACGTGTTCAACTGGCGAAGCAAGGCAGCCCTATTACTGTAGTTATTTACGGAGTACGGAATACGGAGTATGCCAATGCCCGTTGTGGGTGTTGGTCGTGTTCTATGAACTTTGGGTGACACCTGTCTCTAATGAACAGTGTTTCTAGGGAGGCAGTGTGTCCCAATGGTTATCAAGAGACTAATTCAGTAGTAAATGCAGACTATACTAGTGGTCTCTTGGCTAGCATATCCTGGCCAAGACGTCTCGTGCGGTCGGTTTTCGTATTAATTGCCCCTTGATTGGACACGCCAGCCTGACTTTGGGTCAAAGAGCTCTCTATGTCACCTACATTGGATAGGTCGAGTGCAGCAATAATTAGATATTCTATTGACATAGCCATTTGGCATCAGCTTTCTTTGTGACACATTGTGTCTGAGTCGGTGATGCGAGCATGCTACGTAACTTGTTTGTTTTTCTCCACTAAGTTAACTTATTAAATTGCTTCCTATGTGTAGGGCTGCAGAGACCCATTTTTCCTCCTGGCCTCACTGCGCCTCTTTGGCCAAGAATTGAAGCTGCCTGCCCAGGTAGTCTGTTAGGTCCTCTAGTTGAGGTGTCATTTGTACGTCTTATGTTGCTCTTGGTTGTTCTGGTCGACTTTAGGAAGCGTAAAATCAGTCATTGTAAGCGACTGTAAGCCTCCAAAGTACGTTCTAGGCAAGTTCTAGAGGTGATGAGAAAGCAATTAAGCGCCGCGTTTATAATCACAGTTGCTGCAGCGCGTGTTCTCTGCCCAATCTACTACATAGGAGAAGCGCCCGTCGGGCACTCTTGCAGGATGCATCACATGGCCATGCTTGGTCGGCATCCTGCCGCGCTCACAAAACCCCATGCCAAGAACTGATGTTCTAAAGTTCATGTCCTCTGCCGGTCTTAACCATACTACTTATTACATCCCCGTGTTTTCAAAATCTCGTTGCATAGCCAGCTCATTCGAGCAACGTGCAACATGCTGGTGGTATTGGTACGTGTTGGACTTCCAACTTCGGGCCCAAGATTAACCTTAAATCTAGACTTTGGCATTCCTTGCTTTTATTACTTTTATTGCTTATAGGATATTGTTTGATCCCTTGGCTCAAACTTCCGGGCCAGCTTTTGTGTCTATTTTTCCGGTATAGAGCATCCTTTGAAGGCAGCGTCTATGAAAATGACACCACACTTACACTGGAGACTAGCTTTGGCTACTACGTGCACTCCACAAGCGCAGATGGCATAATAGTATCTATTCTTTACACAAGACTTATGGTTGGGGATCCTCGTATTTTCAAGAGCGTCAGGCTAATTTTATAGGGAATGTCGCTCGCATCGGGCCTACGGAACTCTCCTTTTCAACCATATCTGCCCACAACGCGATATACAGCGGTAAAGCTGGCACCGCTCTCTCAACAGAAGGCTCCTTCATGGCAAAGGTCTTCAATATTACCTTCGGCATCGATATTATGTCTACGAACCCGGACACTGTGCATCATCAAAAAGTGAGGAAAAACATCAACTCGGGCCTGCTGAAACTACGCCACAATGAAGATGCAATCTATAAACTATGCCTCGACCAAATCGATCCTCAGCTAGAGAGGATGCGTGCAAACAGGGAGGATCTGGATCTACCGAAATACTTGAGTGGCTCTTTATGGAAGATATTGGGGCACATTATATTCGGTGAACCAATTGGTGAAGAAGAGAAAAGTAAGCCCAGTTTTCATTTGGAGAAACCATTGATACATACGTACTATCGCTGACAACAACAAGGACAAGTTGATGTCCTAACACCATGGTTTTCCACTGTTGCACCTTATCTAGAAGTCATTACCATATTCTCAGCAATACCGGGTGTTCAATTGATCATCACGCGGCTAATGCGGTTATTCGCATCTTTTACTCAATTTTTTGACATCTCCCAATTCAATCCTTATGCAGGGATCCAACGGTTAGTATTTGGAGTGTCCCTTCGAGAAGTTTACTCATTCAATCTAGTCATATCAACAATCGGGATAGGACTATCACCTCTGTGGCAAACTATATGACTAGCGGTGTCTCTGAGAACAAAAGCTGCCGAGAGATCACTGAGATGGAGCTGAATATCAACTTATGCGTATTCCTGTAAGTTTTCCAGGTCAACTGAGGTGCTTAGTGCTTCGAATGCTTGCTCTAACAAAGGGCAATTAGGCTTGCTGCTTACGAGACAACATCTATGGCACTGTCTTCGATATTTTACTTCCTTCTTAAAGACCCTATTCAGCTGTCTAAGCTCCGAAAAGAGTTGCATGCTTCGTTTGAGGACGTCCAAGCCATAAATGATAAAGAGCTTATGCAGCTTCCATTCTTGAGTGGTTGCATTAATGAGGCTTTGCGACTGCTGCCTCCAGTCAGCGGCAGGTTCCTTGCCCGAACATCTCCGGGATTATATGTTGACGGTATATACGTTCCTAAAGGCGTAAGTGGTTCCAGTGAACTTTTTTGAAGTGGCAACATATTCATGAAGACCTTTAGATACAAATGTCAGTGGACATTTACACGATGCATCGGTCGGCATTGTATTGGACGGAGCCAGACAGATTCTGGCCCGAAAGATGGTCCAAAGCCCTGACAAATGACAACTTCGACGCATTCCGTCCATTTTCAACTGGGCTTTCCGCATGCCCAGGAAGCAATCTGGCCCTCAGGATGACACGTCTCATTGTTGCAAAACTCACATATAGATACTCCTTTGCAATGGTAAACAAAGAATTTGTGTGGGAAAAAGACGCACTGTCTTCCATTATGTGGGCGAAATATAGATTAATTGCTAGTATCAAGAAGGATGAAGAAGCAGCGAAGACATAGAGAAATAGGAGCATGAGAGGGAGTCGCGGGAACGAGAGTGCCAGCGTAGATATCATTGGCGCAGGAGATACTTCTTGTGGAGCTGCCCTTCTCTGAGAACCAGACCACGCCTTGTTGTGTACCTTATGTCGCTATACCCATTCGGTGGGAAAGTCCAAGTTGATGCTAGAGGCTTCTGTTCGCTTCTGACAGCTGTGGCTCTATTTGCATGTGAGGGGAATTTAATTCTGAGGCTCAGAGGTAGCAACTTGTTAAGCTCAGTGTTATTCCACCAGTGCGCTGAATGTAAAGATGTCACCGGAAGGAAAATGTTCAGGTCTTCAATAGTCAAGCGTGCGTGCCGAAAATGGCCTTTAGCACTGTCATCTTTATGCCCCGACCTTGTTGATGCACGGTTCGAGAAAATGCCAAATTCTTAGTAGGGATCTTCGGAATAGTAGCCCTAGTTACGTCTTATAAGAAAACATTAAGCTCAGAAAAAATTCTTATATGGGGAAATGCATTTTGATTCACGCATTAAATTGCCTGGACATTTCTCTATAAAATGATATATTTAAATGTCGGGTTTTACATATAAAAATATTGAGTAATAAAGTATCAAGAAGTGATGAGCCAATAGCTTCCAGAAATGGACATCATCCATGCAAGGGAGAGTGCGGAGTACGGTCTGCCCAGGTCCACGGGTGTATATTAGGGACTGACTACTAAGCGGGGATAACTGCACGCCCAGGTTAAGTCAGGCTTAGATTGGTTTCAGGTATGGACTGAGAGAATCTATTCGTGACTCACGGGAATATGATTGGGATATTGCTGTAGGGCTGTATGTAGTGACTTATTTTCCTCACGAATTGCGCCTCTTTGGCGGACCTGGAATTGAAGCTGCCTAGTCTGTTACATGTATCATTTCTGGTTGAGGAGCTATTTACACATCTAATCTTGGTGTTGGTTGTTCCGGTCGACTTCGTTCTCCTTGCAGGAAGATTAAGCCAATCCAAGAGCATTTGTATAGGCATGTCCCCGGTTTTATGCAGTACTTTACCCTATCAGCGGGTATTTTGCAAAATGTCTATCTGCGATGGTAGTCACTATTGCAATGAACATGCAATTACTGAGTGGGACTTGCATTCTTTTTTTCCAATATTAGCAATGACCTGTCAACGGTTGCATGTGGTACATTCCTCACCGAAAGAAAATAAACACGTCTCTTTTCTATGCATTTTACGATGTGGTTCAAATTAAAGGGCTAGATATCGCGAAAATATCGTGTCCGCCCACATAGTTCTCACCCCAAAATGAGGCATTGGTTACTGAGCCTAGGTGCACTCCTCGCCAGCGGAGGTTCAACCAATGCGGCATTCTGTCGCTGCCAGCCCAGTCAGCCTTGCTGGCCAAGTGAAGCCAATTGGGCTGCCCTGAACTCTTCAGTCGAAGGCAATCTGGTTGCAGTGAAGCCATTCGGATACCCCTGTCATGACCCCAACTTCAATGATGCCGAGTGCACCATCGTAAAGGAGAATACATACAGTTCTTCCTACAGATCATCCCAGCCAGGTTCGAAGCCTTAAATCTCAAACACAGCTTTACTAGTTTTGACTTTGACTTGTACTGATGTATCCAGGTGCCCTGCAATGGGAGAATTGGGAATCATGGCCCGAAGAAGAGGAGCAATGCTACGTCGAGACTGATCAATCAACACCGTGCAAGCAAGGTCGCATATCACTATTCTCTGTCATAGCACAGACGGCAGAACATATCCAGGCGGCTGTCAAGTTCGCAGCCCATCATAATATCAAGCTTGTCATCAGAAATACTGGACATGATTTCCTTGGCCGGTCTTCTGCGCCGCATTCTCTACAGATTTTTACCCATGGTTTCAAAAACATCTCTGTTGCCGATGAATTTGTACCCAAGACACCAGCTGGGACGGCTATGTCGGAGAAGATCAAGGCTGTGACCCTTGGCGCAGGTGTCCAATTACGCGAGATGTACGCGTATCTGGGTTCCAAAGGTCTGATGGTCGTAGGAGGAGCCTCAAACACAGTTGGCGTTGCCGGTGGCTACATACAAGGAGGCGGACATTCATTTCTGGGCTGGATGCACGGAATGGCCAGTGATAACGCGCTCGAGTTCCAAGTTGTTCTCGCAGATGTAAGACTTCCCGAAAGGCAATTTTCCAAGGACATTGCCTGTATTCTGACGCTGACGCTTTGCTAGGGCTCACTCGTATTTGCAAACGCCTATCAAAACATCGATCTTTTCTTTGCATTACGAGGCGGTGGTGGCGGGTCATTCGGCGTGGTTGTCAGCGTGACTGTCAAGGCCTACCCTGATTACCCGGTAGTATACACGATGACGAACTACAGCACGAAGGCTGGTGAGCCATTCTGGAATGGTGTTGACGCTTTTCACAAGCATATTGTTCGTCTCAATGACAATGGTGGTTCGGGCTGGTATGCGATTATCCCCGATTCCAGTTCCGCGACTCCCGGCGTGTCAACATTTTTGACAATGCAAGCATTCGTTAACCAAACAAACACTAAATCCATTGAGGAGCTCATGTCGCCGGTGGTATCAGACCTGAAGAACGCAACGGGGGTTGCACCCTTACATGGCATAGTGGCATTCCCTTCCATGTCGAGCATGTACCTGGCAATGTTCTCAGGCAACGATACAACCGGCCTCCAAACACGTTTGGCATCTCGTCTTGTCTCGCGCTCGTTTTTTGAGTCGGGAAATTCCACGCAGCTCACCAAAGGCCTCGCGGGTCTCAGTTTTGGCCCGGAAGAAGCAGTGGTCGGTGTTGTTACTGGTGGCCAGGTTTCCAGGAACCGTGATATCAAGTCTGGACTTAACCCTGCATGGCGGGATACGTTAGTTCATGTGATTATTGTGCGGTTTATGAGTGCGGAGATGACGTTTGAAGAGCAGGAAGCTGTTGCTTCCAATATCACACAGCATGATGTGCCCATGCTCAGATCTCTTGAGCCAGGGAAAATGGGTGCGTACGGGAACGAGGCTGATGCAGATGAAGTGGATTTCCAGGAATCATTTTGGGGTGAGAATTATCCTCGGTTACGGGGTATCAAGAAATTGAGGGATCCTCGTGATCTGTTTATCGTTCGGAAGGGAGTGGGAAGTGAAAGTTGGGATGATAGTGGACTATGCCGTGTTTCTTAGCCTATGTCGCAGTTTCTGCCCTCACAAAAGAGTTTCATCAACATTTATGCCATTCTAGTTTCTAGGCCAATTGCCAGTTGCCAGTTGCTTTACGTCAATTGCGTAAACACCAAAGCCCTAACCTCCACACTGACCCTAGGGCATACATTATATGAGGCATTTGGCAATGCAAATGATGTATGAGGGGCACCTAAAACACAGTAAATGCTTAGTTAGATTCTTCAATTTCTTCTGATTTCCTGTTTCCACTCGCTTGCGTGTATCCCAGGATAGATAATGGAATTCAGAATGGGGATTCCACTCACATTTCACACTTCCCTCCTTCGAATCAAAGCTCTTGAACAAGAGTACATCTTCAACACCCTGTTTGCTCATATAATACCATTTGCGAGTCTTTTTTGGCTCATACAGTGGATATAAGAGTGTTCCTGTATAGTCGCCGCGAATCATATCGCTTTCGACTAGCTTAGACGTGTCAAGATTTCGTCCGTCACACACAGTCATAGGATGATCTTCAACTGGTCCATTCAGGGGGCGCCACATGCTGGAATTTCTCAAGTCAGTTAAAGCTCAAAATACAAAGTCTTTTATATAGTTTATGAGAGTAAATGGGGGAAATATGGTGGCTAGCTCTCACTTTATCATTTGTACTCGCCCGGAAAGAAGGTGGTGGGCTTCTTCGGGGAGATGATTGCGAATTCGTTCAGTCATAGAGGCCCCAATTTTGTCTTTTGTGAGTAACGTGTCTTAAATTTTGTCAGTAATGAAAACCATGTATTGAATCCAGTATGAATTGAATCTTCTTGGTAACATAATTACGGCAAGAATTGACTTTGATTTACCTATATGAACATATCGGGCAAAACTCAACACATGTTGATTTCTAGTTCGTCGCTCCTTTGCGCTCTTCCTTTTCCGAACCTGTTTATGATAAAAGGTAAGCAGAAGTCAAACTTGGATGTAAAATGCTGTTGCTCACTTTCCAATCAAAGATCAACACCCTATCAACACCCTCGATTTCATTTCTCAAGATTGCCTCACATTCCGGCAGAAAGATGTTTCGAATCTGTTCTGGGTCCCAGTAATCCTTTGGTGTGGTGGACCAGGGCGGAGGGTACCTCCGATACACAAAGCCATTTTCCTCGAGAGTGAACTTCTGATCTTCTTTCATTCCTCTGATATCTTGAATAATCTCGGTATCTTCTCCTTTCTGGAATATTAGGTTATGTGGCTTCTTTTGCTCATTTTTCGTCTTTTTGCGGCCAAATTGGGCAATTCGATATGGTCGAGTCTCGGTGTAGCTGGTTTGCCATTGTAGATATGTCAACTTGGTTTCAATATCTGTCGACGTACTACAAGACATCCAGACAAGGAATCAAGACTATGGGGCAATGTTGGAGCTGGAAAGAACCAATGCAGGGAAAGAGATCGTGGAGAGGAACACAAGGACCTATCAACCCAAAGCACCAACCTCAACACAACCCAAGCAAAGAAAGAATAACATGGATAACAAGATAGTATATGGATTTGGATGCTTTTATATTATATTGTTGAAGCCCTGCTGGGGCCCCTACATGCCGATTCCGGCGGTTACTGCCCAAGTGTAGAAGGGCCCTGTGCCAGCGCCAAGCAATAATGATTCAAAGATCCATGCTTAGCTTAACTATATGAGTCAGTCAATAAGTCAAACTTCCCATATTGAAATAAATATGCAGGGCCTAAGGTTCGGGGACCAAATACGTAAAGTGACTCATCGCACTAGGCCTAGTACAGACCTAGTAGGTAGGGCTAATTGAATGAGGCTGGGGGTTAAGTGGGGCGTGAGACCACCTCAGGAAACATTGTATCTCGGTTATAGAGCTCTCCTGGACCGGGGTATTATCGAAAATCCTTTGAGGTAGTTGCTCTTCTCGGGGAGCGTCCTTCGCAGTACGTGAATAGCGACACCTGCTGCGTTTAAGAAAAGTGGGAAATGAACGAAACCGAAGTTATGCAACAGCTCGGATTCCCAGGCATCATAGTTAATTGCCAGATCCCGTAATATGCAGATACAGTGAACTCATCCGTAGCAGAACAGGGTGCTTTGACTGGCTACGTTCAGGTACTAGTAGTAATGTACAGCCGGAAAGACCTTTCCTGTCAGCTCGCAAATAAATTGTACAGTCTTCGCCGCTTCGTGTATTCAATATTTCAAGATTGTGATCATGGCTAGGATCGGTGAGCGTCTGTAGTACTTAGGTGCCTCTTGTCATCGAGACCGAATCATTCAAGCTTCTCCATTATCAGCCTTCGACTTTATTTTATTTCCTCCCTAGCAGGCCTTATTTAATTAGGCACTACGCATGTCATATTTTGCGATGGCGAAAGACTTCTTTTCGATCATTTTGCCCGAACGTTTCGCAAGCCCAGAGGACCTACCTATTATCGACTGATCCGGCTTCCAGAAGATTCCAAAAGACCCTATCTGTCTTTTATTCGAGGATCATTTCGCAATACGCCATAGCCTTGAGAGGCCGGACGTCTATATCAAGCAGCCCCTGCTCACGGGCTACAACGGGTCAGCATCACTTGGCTTATATTTCCTTCGAGAACGGAGAATTTGCCAGATTTCAATAAACAATTCTCACGAATTTTATCGCCCGCTACCTTGGCTGCATCGCAAAGGACGGCCAAAATTACTGATCATTGTTTCCAAAAGTACACCGAGACGCTCGGCGACCGCATTTTGGACGAGCGCCTGGTTGATATCGAAAGCTCACTCCAGCAAGTCGAGGCTGGCATTGATCACTTTCACACTCACAACTTTATTCACAATGATACTCACCCTGGCAACGTCATGTCCAAAGCACTAGATGACAAGGTGGTGGTATTGATCGGCTTCGATTCCTGCAGTATCCAAGGAAATCCACTCCCAGGGAAACAGGGACAAATGCCCGATGCAGTCTGCGCTGCAGAATTTGAAAATTATGGCTCTTGGTTTGAGGATGCTGCGCGAAAGCCTGGGCCAAGAATGAAAGATGGAGGCCTTTGAGTGCTGACAGGGGCAATGATCAAGGCAACCGATTCAAAAAGAGAGGAGAGACAGAGTAGGAGTGTCAAGAAGGGCCAATGTCCAGAGTTGAAAGATTGCGAGACCAAATACACCTGACTTGCCTCCTTACTATCAAATATCTTGGGGGCATTTGTTTAACTTGACGGCAACTTGAACAACTTGGAAGTACTGCTTCACTGCCAGCTCTTTAGCTTCCATCAACTGCTTTTAATCTATTAACGGCATAATCAATTCTTAAGACTAAGTTGGGAGCTGGCTTTTATTCCCCCGGAATGCTAGTAAATCGAGCTTTTTGGTTTTATTTCACTGGTAACAGATCGCTTTTAGTCCCCGGATGTCCTGAGAAATAGAGCCTTTTGATATTGTTTTACTGGTAACCACGGAATTCGATGGTGTCGAGCTCAGCACCACTTCTGATTCGTTTTTCATGTAATCCTCCTCCTATCCTCGGAAAGGTACAGATAAGGGGCGGGGCGGTCCTTACAGGATTGCTCGAGGTTACTTTTTTGAGTTTCTGAGGGCATTGAGGTCAAATTTCGACCATATTTTCGGATTGCGTTGCGCTTATCTATCGACGGGTATGAACCTTGCAATAATTTGCAATAATTTCATAGGTGATGCAGGACTCAGGCTGGGACTTTATCATTATAGGGAGAAGTCACACAGTCTAACATTGAATCTGTCCGATGGTCATTGTCACTGGGGGGTTATAGTGGTAACATATTTAGCGAGTTAACCAGTTGATTAATGTACCCGGGGGCATAGAAAAGCTTGTTCAGAATTGGACAGTCGATATCGCAGTTCGGGTGGCATACATGGGTGGAAGTGCTACTACGTATTCTGGATCTATAGCCATCTCTGATTTGTAGTGAAATCTCGTCTCCCATTTCCTACAAATCCATTTTTGTATGCCATATATAAGCTCAGTGTCATCTCTAGACCAACACTTACAGGAATTTGGGTCATATTGAGAAGGATCATCTGGACTATTTGGGGTCGTCGTACTTTTTACAGCTGTTACATGTGATGCAGAAATGGATTACCAACGTATAAGAAATCAAGAAACTTCAAATGGGTAAAATAATAAGCGATCTAATCTCAACATTACATTTTAAGTGATCAGTCAACATGAGTACCCCATTCTTGAACAGCCGAACGCAGGGATGAAATACACAACATCCGGCCTGAATGACGTGCCAGCCAATATGATGATTTCCAAGCAACTTCCGAAAAAGCACCTTATCTCCTATGAATAACACTGGCTGCCTCGATACTCGTCGGTTTTGCTTGGAAATATTTAAATCGGACGTGGGATTGTTGTTTCCTACATAAAACCCTCCCCATGGGTACCCAGGAAACACAGCCTCTTCTGGGCGCATCAAGCCACTCCGGTGCAATTTCACAAATTACAATCCAACCACAAGATAATACACATGATGATCTCCCCGCGCCATACCCCGACGCACTGCCAGGAGCGACCTATAGAAAAAGCCTCAACTGGTCAAGCGCATACATATTAGTCGTTTCCCGTGTTATCGGCAGCGGTATTTTCGCTACTCCAGGCTCCATTGTTAAATCCGCCGGAAGTATTGGATTGACTCTCTTAGTATGGCTTGTCGGAACGATATTGTCAGCTTGTGGTATGGCAGTGTCGATGGAGTACGGCTGCATGCTACCTCGGTCAGGAGGGGAAAAGGTAAAAATACCGCTGTAACACACAAGAGATGCATCGGCTAAACTGGAGTGTTGTATATAGGTGTACCTTGAGTATACCTATCCCCGACCGAGGTTTCTTGCCTCGAGCCTCATCGCAGTCCAGGCGGTGCTTCTGGGATTCACGGCCAGCAACTGCATCATTTTCTCGAAGTATATCTTCTTTGCACTTGGTACTGTGCCGACTGAGTCTCAACATAAGGCACTTGCTGTTGGTCTTTTGACGGTCATTACTATCATTCATGGCTGCTTTTTGAAGACGGGGATCTATATCCAGAATATTCTCGGATGGGTGAAGATATTCCTCATTGGTGCAATGTCCTTGACGGGAATCTGGGTAGTATTTCTCCAGTTTTATGGAAATACTGATGACTTCTCTCCAGGAGCAAAGACTGGCAGTCCATTTTCTTGGGATTCAATGTGGGAAGGATCAAATTGGAGCTGGAGCGTGCTTTCGACGGCGTTGTTTAAGGTCTACTACTCCTATGCCGGTCTAAACAACGTGAACAATGTTCTCAATGAAGTGCATGATCCTGTTGGTATAGTAAAGACTGTGTGTCCCACCGCCCTACTGACAGCTGGGGCATTGTATACCCTGGCAAACCTTTCGTACTTTCTCGTTATTCCTTTGGAAGAGATCAAAAACAGCGGAGAATTGGTGGGCGCATTGCTGTTTCAACGATTATTTGGTGATCATATTGGAAAGATTTTCTTCCCGCTGGCCATCGCAATTTCCGCAGCTGGAAATGTGATGGTTGTGACATTTGCCTTAGTATGTTTGTTCCCTCTGGGCCACAAGCTTCAGACTAACGTATACACTATAGGCGCGCGTCAACCAGGAAATAGCACGACAAGGGTTCCTTCCATGGCAGAATGCTCTCTCGTCAACGCGGCCATTTGGCACTCCACTCGGTGGACTGATTGTGCACTATATCCCCTCTACTCTGGTCATATCTCTCCCACCACAAGGCGACGTCTACAACTTTATCCTAGATTTGGAGGGATACCCAGGACAGATCTTTGCATTGTCAGTTACGGTCGGTCTACTTATAGTTCGCTATCGGGAGCCAGATCTTGTGCGGCCCTTTAAGGCTTGGTTGCCGGCTGTCTGGCTACGAGTCGCGGTATGCCTGACTCTGTTGATAACCCCATGGATCCCGCCGCCCAACTGGCAAGGGGACGTCGATTTCTTCTATGCGACCTATGCGATTGTTGGTATTGGAATGTGAGTTTGAAGACATTTTCATAGTTATACATTGGAATATTACTAACTAATGCAGTCTCCTCTTCGGGGTTCTCTATTGGTACATCTGGACGGTGTTGCTGCCTCGCTGGGGAGATTATAAACTCGAGGAAGAGAAGGAAGTACTTGCCGATGGAACCAGCATTATTAAATTGGTTCGTGTATACGGTGGTTAGGAATGTGTGTTGTCGCTTTCAAGAAGTAATATGTACTCGGCTAGAGGGGCAGGCAATAGTCACAGGGGGGTTTCTAAGGCTTGCCTAATTTGCAATTCTTTCGAATATCAATTTTTACCTCTTGTTTCACAGCTGCATACTGTAACTAATCAAATACAGAACTGACTCATACGGACAAATCCATAATGAAACTCGCCGACCCTTCTGCGGCATCAATCAAGCCGATCCCGAGGCCCCTTTGGGTGCCAGCGGAGACTTTCGAACCCTGTTCGGCCCCATAGACTAATCTAAGCGCTCGCCCCGCCAAGCATGGGGGCCGAGTCTGATCTGTTATAAAGACGCTCGTACTTGGATCTTCAAATGTTCTATGTTTTATTAAGAAACAAAATCAATTTAGCCTACTCCAATATATACCTACATAATGCCTCTCCAATTCGACCCAGTCTTCCAAAAGGCTGTAGCGCCCTTGTTGGCAGCTAAAGCCAACGGCCCCCAGCCTGATAGAAGCAACCCACTTTCCATTCGAGCTAGCGTGGAACCTGGTTTTGTGAAGTTGATGACGCTACTCCCTGAAGCTGCCGATGTCAACTATGAAGAACACCAAATCCCAACATATGACGGGCAATCCATTGCTGTATACCGGCACTGGAGAAAAGACCTCGACACAACGACACCACAGCCGGCAATTCTACATTTCCACGGCGGCGGACTGATCATGGGCCGTGCACATATTTTCAAGAAAGCCCAGGATTTACTTGCCCAAAAGTCCGGCGTGCAGGTATTCTCTGTCGACTACAGATTGGCACCTGAGCATCCGTACCCGACGCCCGCAGAAGACGGCTATTCTGCGTTGGTCTGGTTGCAGGAGCACGCAGCTCAGTTCTCAATTGATCCCAAGCGCATCATCACAGTTGGAGAGAGCGCCGGGGGAAACCTGGTAGCCAGCATCAACCTGATGGCTCGGGATCGGAGTCATTCGCCTCCCGTCGCAAAGCAGATGCTGATTTATCCCATGTTGGATGACCGCAACATTGCTCCCATTCCGGCAATGGATGGTCTCCTTATGTGGTTACCTGAAGTAAACATCACTGCTTGGTCTGCTTACCTGGGTGATGATTATGGAACCGATCGCGTGTCACAGTATGCTGCTCCGGCTCGTGCGGCTACTCTCAAGGGTCTTCCGAGTACATACCTGGAGGTTGGCACTTTGGACATGTTCCTTGAGGAGAGTTTGAAGTATATTTCGCGGATTGCTAAGGAGAATATTGAGACGGAGCTTCATGTTTATCCGGCTCTTCCTCACGCATATGATGTGTTTGCGCCTGTCAGTGAGGCAGCGGAGAGGTCCATGGCGGACAGATTGCGGGCTATATTGAGCGTATGATGGGTGCTCGTTTTCGGGAACAATAAATATGTTGTCTTCTCATGGGGTCTCGAGTTTGGCCGTAGATGTAACGTTATATAACCAGAAATGAATTATATTGTTCAGGGCTGAGAAATTGAATTGCATGAATGTGAATCAATATTTTCTGGTAAGCAGCTGTCCCTTTCATCATAAACAAAATGTGCATGCCTTTTAAAGAGCTAACAATGTCGAGCTTCTGTAGATCTATAGAAAGTAGAAGAAGGTCCACTCGGCCCTGCGTTTTTCCTTAAAGCGGTCAGGTGATTCCCGATGAATTTTGTCCGAGAACCATCCCGAGTCACTGAATCTCCCAAGCTTCTCAATTCCACATCTCACCATTCATAATGTTCCAACGATCCATCTTCAGACAGGCTCAGGCCTCCCGCTCCGTCATCTCCTCTTTTTCCCCCGCATCGCAGGCGCTGCGGCGGACAACACAATCGCGTGTGCCGGCGGCTATTCGGGCATTCGCGCCCCAGACCACCCGCTGCTACTCCACAGAGAAGGAGGCAACGGAAGCTCAGAATGGCGAGGCCGAGAATCCCCTCCAGAAGGAGCTTGATGAGAAGAACAAGGAAGTGATCGAGCTGAAGGTTTGTCATTCATCTAAGCTCCACGCCATCCATCCCCAATGCTAAATAATTCCTCTGTAGGACAAGTACCTTCGCTCCGTCGCCGACTTCCGCAACCTCCAGGAGCGCACCAAGCGTGACATGGATGGCGCCCGTAACTTCGCCATTCAGCGTTTCGCCAAGGACCTCCTTGACAGCATTGACAACTTTGACCGCGCCCTGCTGGCCGTGCCCGAGGATAAGCTCTCTGCTGAGAAGACCGATGAGAACAAGGACTTCCTTGAGCTCGTCTCCGGTCTCAAGATGACCCAACACATCCTCCTGAACACCCTGCAGAAGCACGGTCTAGAGCGCTTCGACCCCGGCGAGAAGGTCGAGGGCAAGGCCCAGAAGTTCGACCCTAACCTGCACGAGGCTACCTTCATGGCCAAGGCCGACGGTCTCGAGGATGGAGATGTCATGTTCGTCCAGAGCAAGGGCTTCACCCTTAACGGACGCGTTCTACGGGTGAGTCCCACTGCTATTTCAGTATTGAAGACCATTTTGACTGACGTTCTTCTCTCTGCTAGGCTGCTAAGGTTGGTGTCGTCAAGAACGACTAAATCTCTTCCGACAATACCTTATAATTCTTCACTTCTCCGCCTTTTCCTCACTTCTTTCTTCTCTGTACCATATACCATACATCATGATCACGATAGGGTTTTGTACTCGGATACGGCTGGCTTTTGGACCCGGGAGAAACCTTTCCTTCCTTTCTGCTTGTCTCTTGAATTCGGTTGTATGATACACCTTTGTTGCATGTACCTGGAGGCGTCCGGATTGTCTCGTGTTGGTGGTGTGTTTTCGCTTGTTTCGTGCAATCTGGGTCGCTATCCTCTGCTACCTCTCTCCTCCTCATCTGTACAATATACACCTTCTGGGGCGCTGCCATAGCCTCTGATGTTTTCATGTTTCGTTCTATGGACTATGCTTTATAATGTAGTGCTTCAATAAGGTAGATGCTTGGGTCAGTATACTAGACTCGCGCGAGTATCCAAAAGGCTTTGATTTAATGAGAGGAATGCTATAATTTACAAAATTCACATCTAATAGTAACAGTATAGTACAAGATCTAAGCCAAAATCACCTCAACTCAACACCAAGATCACTGACCAACTTCTCCCGAACCTTCAGATCGATCTCATTAGCTTCCTCATTCGTCAACGTCCTCTCCAAACTGCGATAATTAATCCGATAACACATGCTCTTCCGCGCAGTCTTCGGATGCGTAAACTCATCAATGAGAGTAACATCCTCAACGAGATCCCCACCAACCAACCGAACAATCTCCATAACATCATTCTCATGGAAAGGCACCGCACCCCCAGCAGCACTACCGCCACCAGTCACAGCAGCACCAGGCAACCAGAAAGCAACATCCTTATAGCAAGCCGGATGCTTAGAGAAAGGCTCAAAGCGCGCAATATGCCCAGCCCGGAACTGGGACAGGAACCGCTCATCGCGTGACCAGAACAACCGGATATCAGGGATGTTGAAGAGCAACATGGCAATACGCTCAAGACCAAGGCCAAAAGCCCAGCCAATGCGGTCCGGCACGTCCGAATTGATCAGTAAATCTTGCTTGATCACTCCACAGCCCAGGATCTCCAGCCAGTCCCCTTGCCAGAAGACCTCCAGCTCCCATGACGGGCTCGTGAAGGGGAAGTAAGCCTCCACCCAGCGCACCTTCAACGGCTCAGCCTCGACATCGCCGCCGCTACTAGCCGCCGCGGCTTTACTCGCTTCCGTGAAAATCTTAATAACCATCCTCTCAAGCGAGCGCTTCAAATGCGCAGCCACTGCCTCGACTTCCTCAGCATTGTGATGCTCATTCTGCAAGGGATTGCGCTGGTCATGGATAGTCGGGTTGGGATCCTCGACGACAACATCATGCTTAGGGATCTTCTCCACATCAGCCATGATCTTAGCTGCTGTTTCCTTGGACGCTGCTAGCGGGTCCGTGGCTGGCCGCTTCCACAGCATTGCACCTTCCATCTGGTGGAAGACAGGGTAGTGGCTGCGGTCGATTGCGTCGCGGCGGTAGACATCCGCAATGACAGTGTAACCAACTTCGTCTGGGCGGGTATTTTCATTGCGGGCAATTTGCTGGAAGTAGGCTTGCTGGTGGGCGCTTGTGTGTGTGCGCAGGACGGTCTTGTCGTTGACGTAGTAGGTATCAGTGCGGCTGCGGCCTGGGTGGTCTGCCGGGAAGCCGAGGACGTCGAAATTATGTTTTGTTGAGACGACTGGGTTCTTCTCTGAGTAATTGCCGTAGCTTGGGGCCGGAAATTGGCTTTCGATTAGCTTGCGCGTTATGGCGAGTGGGTGGTTCTCGTCTAGGTAAAGGCGTCGTCCGACGTGGGAGAGGATTGTGTCTGGGGTGTTGGTCCATTGGTCGGTTGGGTAGGTGTCGCCCTCGATGTTGAGGGTTGAGGGTTGCTTTGGTGTTTGAGAGGCTGTGCTCTTTGGTTCGTTTGTTTGGCGGGCTGTGGTTGAGCTCCAATTGCGGGTGAGGGTGATCGACTTCAGCGGGAGGGATCGCGGAATGGCGGTTCGGGGCCGTGTTGAGGCAATTGACCAGCGGCCACTGCTGGCGCGCAGGGCTCGGCCTGTTGCGAACAATCGCATTTTTGGTGGTGAGTCTGGGGGTTGGTCGAGCTTGAAATTGTCTGCGTTTAACGTCTATCAAAACATCTTCGGGCCGGGGAAATTAGTCCCCGAAGTACATTATCATATCTGATGAAGATTAATCTGCACTTCAGACAGGAAACTCAGTGTGCATTTTGAGAATGATCTTAGCATGGAATGGACGCAATACTCCACAACTTTGTCTCTGTCTTAGTCTAGTTCATTGGAAATGCTTTCTTTCACTGTTGATTCTGGCGTTGGGCCTACACATACTATATATTTTGTGAAACCGTCCACTTACTGTCTGCTATTTTACTAGAAATTCAATACAATGTGTCGCATATCTTTGTCCCCTTGGTTAGAACTATATACAGTGCACTAGTAATTTCTTTTTGCTCGGTCTCTCGAACTACAACCAAGGTATATATTTGCGCGCAGCAACTAACGTCAACTTATACTATCAAGAAATATATCAAAGCCCAATTTCAGTTAAATTTCAATAGACCGTGTGTCTACCGTGGGCATCAATACACGCTATACCCTGATCGTCTCACCTAAACTTAGGTTTTGTGGATATCTCATCACCCCTCTACACCCCTCCAGGGCTCGTCCCTCGGTTATCCAACACCCGCAATAAATCCGAAGATCTCCATAGCCGAATAAAGTCCGCAGAGATCAAACGCGGAGACATCAATGGCGATACTCGCGATCGCACCCTCGGTGTCCATTTCAACCACCGAGAAATAGCCGTCTATAGCATTCAGGGACTCGGCGTTGTATGTCCCTTACAGAACGTTTGTTCCATCGGCGCAAAGGAAACGCATAACCGATGCCGTGATTGGCCAGATTATGCAGCCCTCATGAGTCAAATAGATGTGATTGGCCCAGACTGACGGGCCGAGTGGGTCTCGGAGGTCTGATTTGACTCCGTTGGTTTTTGACGAAATTACGTCAAAGTCCGAAAAAAAGAGCCTTACTTCAGCCTCTCCCCCTCCTTTTGTTTTTCTTCTTGTTCATAGGGATCTAAGTCACCATGTCGGACGGCAAGATGTTGGAGGCTCCTGCCCACCGAGTCGTGTCCGTTCAAACGCCCTCAAAACCGAAGCAGATGCATTATCCGTTTTGGTTTGGAGGTTCGGCGTCATGCTTTGCTGCAGGCGTGACGCATCCGCTGGATTTGGGTATGTTGGTTCCTAGCTGATCGCGTTATGCATACTGACATGCTGTTTCTAGTCAAGGTATGTGGCGGCTTTCCGTCCGAGACTGTTCGGTCCTTTGTGGCCACCCTTGGTTTCGAGCCCAGACGCTGATAGATCGCTTGTCGCATAATAGGTCCGGTTACAGACGCGCGCGCCTGATGCGCCGAGAACAATGATTGGCACATTTGGACATATTGTGAAGAATACTGGTTTCACCGGGTTATACAGTGGTGTATGTGCAAAGCTCAAGACCCAGTGCATGGCAGAGGTGCCAGGGCACCAACAATGAAGGGGAAAAGTTGGCTAACAGGGGGCGAATTGGATCTGGAACTATAGCTCTCGGCCGCGCTCCTCCGTCAAATAACCTATTCCACAACTCGATTTGGTATATACGAAGAACTGAAGTCGCGCTTCGCCACGCCCTCAGAAGCGGGCGCCGCACCGAGCATGCTGACCTTGGTTGGCATGGCCTGCGCATCCGGCTTCATCGGTGGTATCGCCGGTAACCCAGCCGATGTGATGAACGTCCGCATGCAATCCGACGCAGCCCTCCCTCCAGCCCAGCGCCGCAACTACCGCCACGCATTCCACGGCCTCGTGCAGATGACCAAGACAGAGGGATTTGGTTCTCTCTTCCGCGGAGTGTGGCCCAACTCCACCCGTGCGATTCTCATGACTGCCTCGCAACTCGCCTCTTACGATACCTTCAAGCGCATGTGTATTGAGAAGGCCGGCATGGCCGATAACCTCGGCACACACTTCACAGCGTCGTTCATGGCTGGGTTCGTGGCTACTACCGTCTGCAGTCCTGTGGATGTGATTAAGACTCGCATTATGAGCGCTTCTCCTGCTGAGAGCCGCGGCCATACCATTGTGGGTCTTCTGCGTGATATCTGTCGCAAGGAAGGCCTTGCGTGGACTTTCCGTGGTTGGGTGCCTAGCTTTATTCGCCTGGGTCCTCACACCATTGCTACCTTCCTCTTCCTTGAGGAGCACAAGAAGCTTTACCGTAAGATGAAGGCTCTATAAAGGTAGAGATACAAGCTGCCATCTCTCTTCGGGCTCTCTTTTCACCATTCGCCATCTCAAAACCTCATTTACGCCTCTGCCCGATCATTTCTCGGTATATACGACTTTTCCCATCTTTTGTTATTTTCTGTTTGGGTGGTGCACTTTTGGGATTTACGAGCAACTCTTTGGCTTGTATATAGCTAGCATTCTTTGGGTGTCTCTTTCATTAGAGACTTGAGTGATGGTCACGGTGAGTCGTACAACACCTGCCTTGAACATGGCCTACCTGTACAGGATGTGGTGTATACATTTTGCTGGGAGACTGGGATCATATAGAATTAGATACACACTGAATCGCACTTAAAGCATTTCCGCAAGGACAACTGTTTCCTGAGTGGTCTTAATTTGCGATTGTAAGCCATGGCTGGCACAACAATGTCTACAAAGACAGAGAAACTACCCTAATTTAGTAAGACAAGCACCAGCTAACAATAAGTGTCTTTGCAATACGGCCAGTCTATAGACATCCTTTCTTGCCTTGATGGACAAAATGACCTAGGAAGATAGGGACTGTATCCCGCGTGACCCAGTAGAGTACACTGGAACTTGACGATACATAAAATTGACACAGCTCATTTAACCAACCCAAAATGCTCGTTGGCTATCTATTTGTCGAGGTGAGCAGGGAAGTTGCCAGCCTCTGTCATGAATCGTTAGCATGAATGAAAGCAAAATCAGGCGATTCAATACGTACCACGCTGAGCGTCCCAACGGTCGGTCCAGGCCTTGGGGCACAGAGAGCGGAAGGCGTGATAGAACTGCAGAAAGACAGGTTAGATATCACTGTGTTTCCATTTGAATATTGCCTGACATACCTGCTTGCAGGGGCGGAAATCCTCGCCCTTGGCAGTGGTGCACTTGTAGTAGTCGACATAGTTCTGCCAGCAGTGCTTGGTCCTAACAAGGGAACGAAAGTTAGTAATCATATATTATCGAACGGGGACGAAATCACATACTGGTTCTGCTGGGGGAAACGGGCGTCGTAGCCTACGATTCAATCAAAAATTGTCAATTTCACCATCCACCAGCCGATCGGGGGTTAACAGTCCAAACGCATCCTCGAAGCGAAGCAAGCGGACAGGATTCGGATATATACGCACCAGCTGCAATTAAATTAGCCATTGACTCTTAATTTGGGCGTCTGGCCCCGGTTTCGTGGGAGAGGGGAGAGAACGTACCAGTCACGAACTTGAAGGGCTTTGTCTCGAGAACTTCATCGGGGTCGGCTTCCGGAATGGCACCCATATTTGCGATGTGTAGCTTCAGAAGAAACAACACACGAGAAAAAGAATTGGAGTGGTATGATCAGGAGGAGGGGAGAAAGTGAGCCGGGAAGAGCGACGTTGGGTGATTGAAGCTGTGAAGTGCCGGGTATGACCGCGGGCGGTCAAGCGAGAGCCACTGAGCGTTCTCGCTTTTACACCCGAGCCAGTCACGTTTCTGGAAAGCTGCCCGTCCAACCTCCTCATCCCACTACTTCTCTTGCTTGCACTTCGTCTAGCAACTCACTCTCGCCATGTATCCTACTCGCATGCTGCGCATGCAGCCCACACGGGCCTTTGCCTTTGCTTCCCCGGTATGTTCCTTTCTCCCTCGGCTGAGGCGTGATCATACGATCGGTTCGGTTACTAACTCCTGGCTACAGAAGGAGCCTCACAGCGGTATGAATCTCCTGGATCACTAGATCTGATGATAAACGGAGCTATATAGACTGGCTTCGCGACCATTTCGTGGCAATTGAACTAACCCTGTGTTTACAGCGCACACCATCTCCCAGCGTCTGCGCCAGGTCAAGAGAATCCCCCAGAATTGCTCCCCATCGGTATGTCGTACTACCTTTGCTACAAGTCGGGACGAATAATCAATCTAACATTCTTTTGACATTTAGGATTCGTCCTCGCGTATGTCTAAACTTATCTTATACGATTTCCCGCTCAATCCCGGAGCCCATACCCGAATTTTCTCCTATCTGCTCTGCCGAACAACTCAGCTTGTGTGCGATGCTAACTGCCATGATTCTAGTGTTGCCGTCGGCGCTGCCATCTACTCTTGCGGCAAGAAGCTCATGACCGACAAGACCCTGCGTCTCTACCGCAACAGCCCCGAGAGCCGTGAGCACTAAATGTACCATCATGTTTCTTTGAGCTCCTCAATGCGATTCGCAGCTTTTTGGAATTCTGCCGCTTGTATTGTTGATTAGGAGAATGTGAAGCCGCTGAGCATAATTTGAGCAAAGCAGCGGAGACAAAAAAGAACGGGCTCGGGTTCGGGAGCCCGTGTACATATTCCGACTTCGCGAGCCTGGTTCCTGATGATGTACTTGTGACAAATAGTACTGTCGTGTTTTGGATTTATGCTTTTTTGTTTGTCATTTTCGTCGTAGCTATCGTAAGGTGTAGCATGCTTCACTCGGGCTTTGGCCCGGCAACATCTAGCTGTTCCAAGCCCTGCATCGGGTCTTGCGGACGACCGCTGGCAGCTTGCGCCTCTTCGGCAGCTTCCCGGTCTTCTTCGCTTACTGCATGCTTGGCCAAATAGCCCTCCTGTAGACAATGGGGTTAGTTCCGAATGCGACCAGATAAAATTGAGTCCTACGCACCTGTTCCCAGATTGCGGTCTTGCTGCCTAATCCCTCGTTGGCATCCTTCTGCGGCTTTGCTTGAGCAACCTTGATAGTGCGTCCGTAAATCTCGCTGCCGTCCATGTTTTCGATTGCCTCTTTGGCATCTAGTGGTAGATCAAACTCGACATATCCATATCCACGGTGAAGGTCGGTGGAGTTCGGCTGATCTGGCTTGGGCAGCGAAATATCGACAACTTCGCCAAATGGAACGAATGCTTCTGCAAGAGTATGCGCAGTTACGGACTGGTCAAGACCTCCGACGTAGACGGTGCTCTTCAACCGAGTGGTTTCGCTCATGGTGTCCAGTTCCGCTCAGGTTCAACTGGTGGGAATCTCAGATATAGGGGGAAATGCGACGGATTTCGAGGTTGCTGGAGATGAAAAGAACGTAGCGCGTGCAATTAAAGCAGGATCTTATGTTCAAGACTCCTTCACCCAGAGCGGAACAGATATCACGTGCAGCTCAAGCCTCGGGGGTGTTTTGGCGAGTCCCAAAGTGGTCTAGCGCGAGTTCCCCGGTCCCTCCAAGTCCAGGAGGCCACTTGGTTTACTACTATACTTGGGACCTCTAGAACATCACCCCGTTGTCAATTATTCATAGGGGGTGATTCTTGATCCTTTCCTTTATTTAAGCTCTCGTTTCCTTTTCTTTCCTTTGATCTATTGGCCTCGATCATCTGCAAAACATACCTCCCATACCATCATCATGGTGCGTCTGAGGGAAATCCCAAGGACGGCCACCTTCGCCTGGTCGCCCGGGGCCGCATCGCCATTGATCGCCACCGGAACCCGCGCTGGGGCTGTCGATGCCGACTTCTCCAACAAGACATGTCTCGAGCTGTGGGATCTGGGTCTCGACCGCGAGGACGCGAGCGAGGAGCTGCAGCCGCTAGCGAAGATCGATACGGACGCTGGGTATGATTGTCATCCAGGACTTGACGGGGAGCAGTCTGCTGATCGAATACTGTGTCTAGCTTCAACGATCTCGCCTGGACTACATCCGAGGACAGCAAACGGGGTGTCATTGCGGGCGGTTTGGAGAACGGATCGTTGGATCTATGGAACGCCGATAAGCTACTTGCTGGATCTAGGTTGGTGGAACTTCTATGCCAAATAATCATCCGGTCTTGCTAACCGACTTCCCAGCGATGCTTTGATGTCAAGAACCACCAAACACAGCGGCGCCATCAAGGCCCTCCAGTTCAATCCCAAACACTCGAACCTTCTCGCCACCGGTGGTGCAAAGGGAGAGCTATTCATCTCGGACCTAAACAACCTCGAGAACCCATTTCGCTTGGGTAACAACGCCGCCCGAACAGATGACATCGACTGTTTGGACTGGAACAAGAAGGTTCCTCATATTTTGGTTACCGGTAGTAGCGCCGGTTTTGTCACAGTCTGGGATGTCAAGACCAAGAAAGAAAGTCTGACATTGAACAACATGGGCCGGAAAGCTGTCAGCGCAGTCGCATGGGACCCTGAGAAGGTAGATATCACTATGCTTCTCATCGATGCTTTACTAGTCTAGCTAACAAATTGTGTTTAGCCCACTAAGCTCATCACATCGACACCGCTTGAGTCAGACCCATACCTTTATGTCTGGGATCTGCGCAACTCCCATGCCCCCGAGCGGGTATGTTTACTGCCCATCCTCAAGGCGTCGGATGCTAATATGCTTTCTACAGACACTCAAGGGCCACGAGTCAGGTGTTCTTTCCCTTTCATGGTGTGATCATGACCCAAGCCTTCTTCTTTCTTCCGGTAAGGATAACCGCAACATCTGCTGGAACCCGCAGACCGGTCAGGCCTACGGAGAGTTCCCCGTAGTCACGAACTGGACCTTCCAGACTCGCTGGAACCCTCACAACCCGAACTTCTTTGCCACCGCCTCGTTCGATGGAAGGATCTCGGTCCAGACCCTGCAGAACACGAAGACCGACAATGCTCAGGCTATTGCCGACCACAACCAAGCCTTGGACGGCGAAGACTTCTTCAACAAGGCCCAAACACAGCCTCAAGTCTCCAAATTCACTCTCCCCAAGGCCCCTCGCTGGCTCGAACGGCCATGCGGTGCCACCTTTGGCTTTGGTGGCCGGGTAGTTTCTTTTGGCCTTAATGAGAAGGACTCTCGTGTGTCCAAGATCAAGATTACGCCTTTCGAGGTCGATGAGAGCGTTGGAAATGCCACGGAAGCGTTCGAGGACGCTCTGAAGCAGGGTGACCTTAAGACACTTTGTGAGATTCGGGCCACAGATGCCTCCAGTGAAGAAGAAAAGGCAGACTGGAAGGTGATGCAGGCTTTGATCTCCGCCAACCCACGCAAGGATTTGGTCGAGTACTTGGGCTTCCAGGATCAGGCTGCTGATGAGGCTGCTGATAGCCTCGCCAAGCTTGGTCTGGACAAGAAGGAAGGCGAGGAGGCCAATGGAGTCGCCGAGAAGCCGACGGGAGCTAAGAAGCACAAGCGCCTGCAATCTATGTTTGAGCCCAACCCCGAGGAGGACAGCTTCCTGTCTGAACTGGCTGCTTCCAAGGGTGCCCAAACCAACAACCCCTTCCAGATCTTCAATGGATCAGAGACTGAGGCAGAGCAGCAGATCACTCGTGCTCTTCTTCTCGGTGAATTCGAGAAGGCTTTGGATGTTGCGCTCCGCGAGGATCGCATGTCTGACGCATTCATGATTGCCATCTGTGGTGGTCCCAAGTGCGTCGAGAAGGCTCAGGAACACTACTTCTCTAAGCAGGCCGGTGGCCCTAACTATATGCGTCTGCTCGCGTCTATTGTGGGTAAGAACCTCTGGGATGTTGTACACAACGCGGATCTGTCCAACTGGAAGGAGGTTATGGCTGCCCTGTGCACATTTGCCGACGAGAAGGAATTCCCTGATCTCTGCGATGTCCTTGGTGACCGCCTTCTTGAACAAGTTCAGGGCACAGAGGATAAGAGTGCCCGCAAGGATGCCTCTTTCTGTTTCTTGGCTGGCTCGAAGCTTGAGAAGGTTGTCGCCATCTGGGTCGATGAACTTCGCGAGAACGAGCAGAAAGGAATTGAGACCAATGCCAACGGCTCCGGCTTCTCCATTCACGTCCGCGCTCTGCAGGGTTTGATTGAGAAGGTTACTATCTTCCGTCAAGTCACCAAGTTCCAGGATACGGAACGGTCCAAGGACTCCGAGTGGCGCTTGAGTGTCTTGTACGACAAGTACGTCGAATATGCCGATGTTGTCGCTACCCACGGACGCCTGCAAATTGCTCAAAAGTACCTCGACCTTGTCCCTGAGAAGCACCCCGAGGCTGAACTGGCCCGCAACCGTATCAGGCTAGCCACGAGACAGGCACCGCAGAAGGCGCAGGCCGCTGTTGGAGCGAAGTCCGCCTTTAAGCCCCTCCCGCAACAGCCCAACATTTACCAGCCGCAGCAAACCAATCTTGCTTCCCCTGCTGCCCCCTCAGTCCCTCATCCCAACGCCTTTGCTCCCGCTGCGCCCGCCATCACGCAGCCTGCGAACCCTTATGCCCCTCAGACGACTGTTTCGCCATCCCAGCCGGCCAACCCCTATGCTGCTATTCCTAGCGGAGGAGCATACGCACCCGCGACTGGTTATCAGTCAACTCAGGGCATGAGACCCACAGGCTATGGCCCTCCATCTGCATTTGGTGGACAGCCTGCAGGTGCTGGGGTCCCTCCCCCTCCCCGTGCATCTAACCAGTCGCCGGCCAACCCTCCCATCACAACATACACCACGGCTACCGGCCTTCCTGCATGGAACGATTTGCCTGAGGGCTTCGCAAAGGCTCCCACACCCCGCCGCTCAACCCCTGCCGCTACCGCTGCACCCATCGCCTCTCCGTTCCCCCACCAGTCGCCGACTCTGAGCCAAGGACCTCCCCTACTGGGCCCCCTCCGGTTGGCGCTCCCCGAGCACCATCTGTGCCCCCTCCACCTAAGGTGGGACAAGCGCCTCCCCCGCGTATGATGTCGCCGCCATCTGCTGTCCCGCCTGTTTCCCATATCCCCGGGCCTTCCCCGCCGCCTCCCAACCCGTACGCGAGTCTCCCGCAGTCACCGCCGATGGGCTCTTCGGGATCCACTATGGCACCTCCGGCGTCGATCCCTCGTGGACCGTCACCCTACAATGCTCCCCCTAGCATGCCGCCACCAACCAACCGGTACGCACCGAGCCCTGCTTCTCAGGCCGCAAGCCCGCAACTGCAGAACCGTGGCCCAGTGCCTCCCCCTCCCCAGGGAGCTGCCTCTCCATATGCCACCCAGGCGGTCTCACAAACACCGCCAGTGAACCCATATGCGCCTAGTACGCCTATCGCGACCCAGCCTCCTCCTATGGCCCAGGCAGTCCCTCCGCCACCCCAGGTGTCCCGGCCCAGTACAGCCCAGTCGCAGCGTGCGGCTCCCCCGGCTCCCAAATACCGTAAGTCGCTTCCAATTGAGTACTACAAGCGTAGTAAACTGACATTTCCCCAGCCCCCGGTGACCGTTCCCATATCCCTGCCAACGCACAGCCTATCTTCGAGATACTCTCGGCAGATATGGCGCGCGTCAAGTCCCGAGCCCCCGCGGCGTTCAAGGTCCAGGTCGACGATGCTGAGCGCCGCTTGAACATCCTCTTTGACCATTTGAACAACGAGGACCTGCTCAAGCCCAACACCATCGAGGATATGAAGAACCTGGCTGGCGCAATCCAGGCCCGTGATTATGCCGCCGCTCAATCCATTCAGGTGGCCATCATTACCAACCGGAATGATGAATGTGGCAATTGGATGGTGAGTCAACCTTAACTTTACCCCTTCTGATATGGATTGACAACTAACATCTATACTTCTAGGTCGGTGTGAAGCGTCTGATTAGCATGAGCAAGGCTACCCCTGGTGAATGATTTCTTGAATTCCCTGTCAAGCGAAGGAAAGGTGAAGGGCTTGGTATATCTTGAATGATTGTGTCTGGTCTTGTTCGCCTTTTGTTTCGCTCTACTTCAGCGCTGTTCTAACTTCTCTTCTCTTCCTTGTCCATTTTATAATTAATGTCTGCGTATCTTTTTTCTACCATTTCTGTTCTCCCCTGAGGCATAAGTCTGATCAGTTCTTCTCGTGTCATGAGCAAAACAAAACTTCCAAGTGATTCCTATTTGTGGCTGGTAACTTCCATTAGAGAATGCCATTCCGTTTAGATTGCCAGATAGATATGATTCGAATGAGGTATAGATCTCACTACTTTTTGCACACTGAGTAAAACGATGGTAGGTATATCCAAAAGGCCCCTGCCAACATATGAATAGATAGTGTTTGAAATAAAAAGAAAAAAGATAGACATAGCATGTCCTGGTTTCGATCCAGGGTCTGGTTGACCGTTAGTTGGATGAATCGAGTAATTGACGGAGTCGGTGAAACATACCCTCCGGGTTATGAGCCCCTGTGTAATTGGTTAGTGGAGGTTCTATTGTGGGTCCAGACATTGGACACTTACGGCGCTCTTCCCCTGAGCTAACATGCTGGGATTGGTGATATTCTTCGCTGATTTTGACACTATGAGGGAGCTACCATTATTGGTCACGTGCCTTACTTAAAATACGTTAGGTTAGGGTTAGTATGCTTGTTTAGGTGTTCAATGTATTCTAGGTTAAATCGCATGTAAAGTATATCACTTGGTGATACTGTACTTCAATTTACCGAGGCCACAGGTGGATATAGGCAGCTAGCCTTTTAAAGGCACGTTCCCTTTCGACTAGTAAATCACGCTCCTAGACGGTGGTAATAGCGCTTGGAAGTCTAATCAATTTCAGCATGCTTGTTTTCCCTACGTAGAGGCTGTCTATCTGGTCCACATAAGAGTATTCTCTAGCTCTAATTTCAATCAACTTTAACTTCCTCGGCTCCCTGGACTTCTTTTCCATGGCAGAGTAACTTAATAGCTACCCTAATTGCTATCCTACTATCGACACACTATAAGCTAAAGGCCCATGATCCTGAAATACAGCTGTGATCTGCGTGCACACACGCCTATTTCCTTGTGGGCATTGGCTTTTCCCCAGCCTCGTCCTGTCCAAGCTGTGCCCATCTTGCCAGCCATTCAATTCCCTCTGCGTGTAAATGTTCGTCAAACTTGTTAAGATGCCCAGGTGAGGACGCTTGATATCGGAAGCGGTGGTTTCTCTCATAATGCGTTCGCAGCTTTGTGGGCTGTGAATATCGTTTGAAGTGTTCGCACTTAGGATATCTACAAAAAGCTCTCCTTTGTACACGATGTCTTTTTCCATGCCGTCAAGATTGCCAGGATTAAGTTCTAGACGGGGGAGATGTTTGGCGTGCCTCTCTGTGAGTTGATAATAAGAAAGTATTCCATTGTCGGAGCCTTTAGGCAGAGACTCTGGGGGTAGGAACCGGACTTTGCTTCCTCTTCGACAGCGCTTTAGTTCCTTGGCTGGAGGCTCTTGCTTGATCAATGACTGCTGGTCAAGAGAGGGTTGCACGTCATTCAGGCACACTTGGTCCGCTGTTGGTTCGTGTTTGGACAGATACGGCTGATGAAACACAGTTTCACGGGTCAAAGACTGTGGGGTCCGGTTCTGGGGGCACGTCTCTCTCGCATGTCGATCCCTGTGGTCCTTCCGCGAGAATAGATACCCACAGAAAGTGCATCGCAGATGCATTTCAGGATTTTCGTGTTGCTCGTGCTTGTGATGCATGTGCCGGTTAAGGTCAATAGAAGTCGGAAATGGGATATTGCAGTCGCCACAAATGTGTTTCGATAAATTGCGGGACTCCGGTTGCTCGTTTCTGACGTTGGTCAGCGCACGCAACTCGGTCGATACAACAGAAATATCATCTTTCATTAGAGAGATAGCGCTAAATCTCCGAATGAACAAAGCGGTCGAATCTTTGAGAGAGAAGCCACTGCCCAGGTCCTCGATATCAAACTCTATTTCACCTCTGAAGACTGAGCAGACCTTCGCGACATTAACTTCGAAGAATTTCTTTTGCTGCCAGGTGGACTCCTGGGAATAGATTCGGAGCGTAATACGCTCTGCCCAGTGAGAAAAGAGGTTGTAGAAACTCATTCGATCAGTCATTAGCCCATCCCAGCCATTGACGACTATGAACAGCTCTCCCTCATATTCTTCAACCTCATTGTGTAGGCTGGCAAAAAAGACGATACCTCTCCGGTTGGCCGCAAAGGGGTATTTGATGACTGAACAAAGGTAAGAAAGTGGCATTCGGATTGAACTTTGCCGTAAGCCCTCTCATAGAAAAGCTTAGTCCACTCTAGACTCCAGAGAAGGTAGTCGTCTTTTTCCATGCGACTTCCACTAGATGATCGGGCCACAAGTGCGACGATTTGTTTTTTTGCGGGGATGTTGATAGCAATTTCCAAAAATTGGCCTCGAACTTGATCCATCGAAATAGCTTCCTTCGACTCCCAATCCGCATTGGGATACCACTGTTCCAAGTCGGGATGGGAATGAACTGCTTCAAGGAACTGCCAATATTGAACAATTTTGGGGATTTCGGTATCTAATGCCATCAAATCTGCTTGGGTGCGATTGTATGCCTGATTCCAGTGATCAAGGAACTCAGTCGCCGTGAGACCAGGTGTGTACATGCAGCGAATCCACCTGCTCCATGCCTCAGAATCTAGTTCTTGGCTGGTAAAGCTGCATGAAGCTGGTATGGTTTCATCCAGACTGCGTGACGGTTGTTGTTTTGATTTTTCGGGTGCCATGTTGGGAAACCAAGGCAATGGGGATAAGAAAGACAAAAACAAAAGGTTGTGGCGGAAGATGAAGCTACTTTAAGAAAAGTGATTATTAGAGCAATAGGCGAATGTGACTAGAATCATGATTACCTCTTTAGAATATGTGTCCTTCTTCGTTGGCTTTGGATCGGTTCAGATGCTGTTGAAGCTCCAGAAACGAAGGGACCAGTGATACAGGTACATCTTTCCCGTACTTTGCAGGATCCCTCGAACCTAGTATCTCGGTCTTTTGTTCTTGCTCCTGTATTCCAGCGCCCTAGATGAACACTCATTTCGTATTTCTGTTGTCTAGTGTAGTCAGATCTGTTATCATTCGTACGCTGATCTTATAGTGCATGGCATCACATCTTCAACGCCAATGTTGAGGATCTTACGTTCAATTCGAGCAACATGGCTCACTGATACGCCAGGGGCATTATCGGCGAGAGAGTACCGCTCTATATCGTATCGTAGCTCGCCCGACTTGTCTAATATTCGTAATAGCTAAACTAGTATACCCTAACACCCTACTATGATTTGATAGAATCTAACTGTCAAATATATGTTGTTAGCTGATATAGCTAAATTACAGCGGTATTTATTGTAATCTTATAGGAAATATCGTATATTAGATCCTCGTAAATACAATCCATTATCATAAGAGTAAGATATCACGAGCTTAGTAGTAAGTCAAATCAATGATAGCTGTCGAGTTATGAAGTTGTAAAATATCGCATTTACCATGGTGTTCTGACTGCGGCGCTCGCATGCCATATAGAAGATCCAAGGTCTACGTCATTTAGGGAGTAGGTGAAACAGCCAAATTTCATCACTTGAAGTTGATCCTCCAAGAGTAAAAACTAGTTGTCAGAAATGCTAGGGTTGACAAAAAAAAAAGAAAAAGAAAAAAAGATAGACATAGCATGTCCTGGTTTCGATCCAGGGTCCTATTGTCTGTTAGGATCGCTGAATGCGGTAATTGATGGAGTCGGTGAAACGTACCTCCGGGTTATGAGCCCCTGCATGATTGGTTAATTTAGGTTCAATTGTGGGTCTTGACAAAGTAACTTACGGCGCTCTTCCCCTGAGCTAACATGCTGGGATGGGTTAGCGTTGTTCTCGTTAATGACCACATAAACGATGTCTGCCATTTCTTGACGCTAGAGGCTCTCTCTATGCAATGTAGGTTGTTGTAGCACCTTGTATATCCTGTCAAGAACAAAAGGGGATTCGACGCATGAAATCGTCGATTTGGAAATACTGGTACATAATACCATTTCTAAACTGTCTAGATACTCGTAACACATTATTTTGTCTCACCAGAGAAACGCCATGTATAATGAACACGAAGAACAGCCACATTAAAATTAGAATAACAACTCCAAGACCTCAGCTCGATGCACAAATCCACTCGCCGCATCTTCAAACGCCTTCAACGCTTCAGACTGATTGTTCATCAACGCAACAACCCCAGTATCGATCCCGATTTCTTGAGACTCATGTCCCGGCCGAGTGAAATAATACTTGCCCTGATGCCAAGACCATTTCCTGAGATAGGCCTGGAGGTCCGTAGAAGCGAGGGAGTGAGCCGTGCGGAAAAGGTCCGATTTCCTGCTAGCTGAAGTATCTGGTGCGTCCGGGAACGCGATGAAGGCATCGCTCGGCAGTGACCCTACACTTAAATCCGTACTGTGTAGGTGTGCCATTACAGCATTGGTGAAATCGCGGAACCACTCGATGAGCGGGAAGATTTCCTCTCCGGAACCCGTCGCCCGGTTGACGTAGTCTACTACTGGGAGAGCAGAGGAGATCATGTCCATGAACACGGCGAGCATTGCTAGAGTTGCCGGGCTTGCCAGGCGGTGGCGACGGTTTTTGAGGCTGGACAGTGCTTGGCTGGATACTTGGAACACAACGTTGATCATTTCGACGACTGATGACACACAAGCTGGGTCCAGGGTATCCAGGTTGCAGATCAAGTCGTCGAATACGAGCGTGATGGTCTGGATGATGGGACGGCTGAGCAGCCACGCAGCGCGGTTGCCAAGGGCTTCTTCGAGGTACGCTGGAAAGACACACTGCAGGAGAGTGGCACGGAGGGTGGGCTTATCTGAATTACCGGCTTCGTAGATGTTCTTCATCGATGTG